GAGGTGAATTAGATGGTATGGAACCTAGCGCACACTTTGGTTTAAGTCGGCACTTGATGGAAAAGGGGGAATGATACACAGACAGGTCTTGTTGCTATTGAGAAGTACACTGGAGCATGTATTGAGATTAGAAAATTTAGAACCACAAATCACTTAGCTTTGTGATCGTCGAATTGAGAAGGAAAAAAAATATGATCACTATTTTGTATGTGTGGAAGGAGTATGTTTAACGCACATCAGATAGGTAATAATACCAATTAAAAGGCCTGTCAGCGTTGCCCAGTCCTCCTCCCCCTTCAAAGCATTCATCTAGAATTATAAGTTTAGCACAGGTGGTGTCCTAGAATTATGGTTCTTTAGGTCAGTGCTGAGGAGCTGAAAGAAGTTCCTGTCTGCTGTGTGCTTGAGGAATTCTTACAGCATCCTTAACTATGTCATTTTGTTGGAAGACATTGTTACATTTTCACTGTCAGAACAGAACAAGACAAAGCTCAGTGTGAAGCTGAGAGTGAAAAAAAATTGCATGTCTATTTTTGGCTTCACCCTCCATGTTGCTACCAGTCTTTTCAGCTGAATCTTCCAAATTGATTTTGGTTTGCTTCCTGTAATACTTGGAAAAATGTCAGCCCTCCATTAAGAAAATTATAGATGTTAACCCCTTAGTTAGGTTTTCAAGAGAAATACTCCCCTTGAGATCATATCACAATATTTACCATGTTCCTTACAGAACTGAGGGACGTGGTGGTGCTGCGGGTTAAACCGCAGAAGCCTCTGTGCTGCAGGGTCAGAAGACCAGCAGTTCTAAGATCGAATCCATGCGACAGAGTGAGCTCCCATTGCTTTGTCCCAGCTCCTTGCCAACCTAGCAGTTCGAAAGCATGTAAACATGCGAGTAGATAAATAGGTACCATCTCAGTGGGAAGGTAAAATGGCGTTGCCTAGTCACGCTGGCCACGTGACAATGGAAACTGTCTTCGGACAAGCGCTGGCTCTACGACTTGAAAAACGGGATGAGCACTGCCCCCTAGAGTTGGACCCGACTGGACTAAAAATGTCAAGGGGAACCTTTACCTTTACCTTACCTTACAGAACTACGTACAAAAGCTTGATGGCTTATGACCCAGATTCATCTTATACTTTAAAAGTTGCCAGTGCAATATGAGGGGAGGACACCATGGCTTTTTCTTCAGCTCCTTTACTACTAGGTGCATGTAAGCATGCCTTCCTTCTTTTCTTCCACTGCTGCCATCCTCGCAAATAAACCGCCCAGAGAGTGCTTGCAGCGCTAAATCCTCGCAAATAAGATTTAGAACTTGGGAAAGTTACTTTAAAAATCTGCTACTGTTAGAATGCTAGGGGCCATGTACACTAGAGGTTGTTGGGAAATGTAGTTTAAAAAGGTAATTATTCTAAGCTCTGGAATGTGACTCACTACCAGTGATCTGAGCTGAATCAGAAACTGAAGAACAATGCCTTAGTACTGAAGGATCAGTAAGTAATGATATTATTTTGTTGAGAAAGCAGCAGCAACATTAGATCATGTTTTGGTAGCAGAAGTAACAGCAGTGGTTGTCATTATAGGCCATCACTCTGGGAGCTGTTAACTAGGTTGGGTTCTGCCGGAGCCTCATAAATTTGAGCATATATAAACAGAAAGCTTCAGCTGATTACTCTTTGGGGGATAATTTTATTCTGTGCAGCTGAGAATTAATGCCATGCTACTTTATTTTTCAGGAGACTTTTCTTCCACTGTTTTTTGTTTTCACAAGCTTGGTTCCACGTTTTATCGTACTTAGAACAGACTCATTGTAACCCACAGGACTGCAGTTAGACTTGTGTTCCATTGATTTCAGTGGGTCTACTCAATTTATGGCTAAAATCGGAAACAGCTGAGGAGGGGATGGGCAACATCAACAGTACTCTTCCATTCCAACAGTGACTGTTGGTTTCTAGTTTAATAAACTACAGTCTCCTTTATCTTCAATATTGTTGTTGATGGAGTAGGAGTGTAAGTGATCTATGGAAGAGGAAGGGACATTTCCCAAGTCCTGTCAACCTTGTGGTGGCTGGGATGAAAGCTAGATGGGCAGATTTCCTTTCCTTGGCCATGCCTGGGAAAAAAATCCTACACAGTTTTTAAAATGGGGTGCGTGGAATAATAAGTACACCAGCTCCTGGGCTGGCATAGTTTTGATACTAACTCTCAGGGACATGTTGAGAAAACAGGAGGGCTCTGAGACCTAGGGGTGGCAAGCCTTCATAAACATGGCTCCTTGTAGTCCCTTGCATTGTCAGAGTAGCAACTCTGGAAGACCAGCTTTAGTGGAACTTCATGCCACTGCAAAGAGGAGGCCTCTGGTGATGGAGCCTCCATTTCTGCAGAGCAGAGGAAAGCTCATATCATTTAAAAAGCCCAACAGCTGCCTTCCCTGTGAGCTTAAAATGGTTTCCTTTAGTTCCCTCTCTCTCAAAAGCATTTATTTGATGCTTTGACAATATGCAAACGGATTTAAAGTTGGTTTCACAGAGTTGTATCCTCCAGTCCCATCTCCCCCTTTTTTACCAGATTCTCTCAAAATGACGAGTTTTCAAGGAAAATGGTTTTTACAGTTAAAAACGTAACACCATTCATATGAAGCATGGATCTTGAGTTATTCCACAGCTTTCTTTGTCTTTTTAGCACAGATCTTGTGAAATAGACTTTGGGTGTGGTTGCACTAGTGAAATAAATCAAGCAATGGATTGAGGTTTTGGAATTTGGTTTAAAGTCACATGGTGGTCACATGGTTTTGGGGTCAATGTGTATGTCCTCTTGGGAAAACTTTTAATCAGTTCTAAAACGATGTTGTATATTGGATGAGGGGGCAAAACAGTCTTTTAGAATCATTGTGTTTGAAGCTTTTTCCTGTGCCCTCACTCCGTTGTGCTGGGTGCCTCTCACAGCCACTAGCTGCTGGTGCCACTGTGGTGTTATTTGTAATAATTTTTTTTTATTTCTTGCAATATGGCATAGTACTAGCACAGAATGACAGGTAGAAAAAAATAGAACAGAGGTTTCTTTGCAGCCTGACGTGCGCATGGAGAGAAACAGTCAAACACACATAGGGAATGGAGAAGGAGAGAGAGGAAACTATGTTTCCCATGCAAAAAAAAACCACACTTCCATGTGTGCCATGTAGTCACCTTTTTAAAAATCAAACATGCTAAACCAGATTCAAATACAGTTCCTTCCCCCGCATGTAACTGTGCTCTTTGTTATCTCTGAAACCTTTGATGTTAAAAAGCTATTTTTCCTTTACATAGCATGTAAAGGCAAAAGGTATAATTTCCTTTATATGTAATGTTGATCCCAGTTCTGAGTTTTTTTAGTTATTAGAATGTGATCCTGTGCACAGTGTTCTTGGGCTTATTCTGATATTTTAAGCTAATTGTGCAAATACTTGTTTTGATAGGAGTGGCGTTTGTGTCATGCATGATTGCTATGTCAATGAACATAGTTTAGATAATAAATGGCAGGCACCGAAGCTGGTTCAAAAATACACCATTCTTTCTAGGGAAATTGTAATTCTGGCCATGTACATAATCACCCCATGGCTGGCCTGAAAAGCATAAATTTCCCAGATACATTTGTATGAAGACTGTGGCTTTCAGCAAATAGTACATATGGTGGCAGAGCTAGGTAGGATGTAGGGTTTCTTTTTATTTTTATCTTTTTGTATACAATATTGTTCGAATTCGGTTAATGTTCTTAGAAGGCCAGTTTTTTGTTGTAAGTGAGTAGCGAAACTTCTTATTTGTTTTATTTGTAGCCAATTGCTTTTTATTTGCTTTGTTTTCTCCTCTATTTGTCTGATAGTGAGTGGTTCCCCTGACTCTAATAATAATAATAATAATAATAATGTTTTTGGAATTGGTTTGCTTTCTCCTGCATATAGCCTAAGCAGCTATAAAGCAATAAGGTATGAAATATGAAATACGTCTTTTAGTTTTTAAGATGCCAATACTTTTTTTCTATTTTCATTTTGTTTTTATTATACTACTGCATTTTTATATAATATCTTGGTATTTTTGGTTATCAGAGGAGCAAAATTTATGTTCAATTGTTTTAGTATGATTATCAATATTCTCCATTTATCCAGCTTTGTGCGGTGTGTGGGGGCGTCGTCAGTAACATCGTACCAATTGTGGAAGTAGCCTGGCTGGTGTTTCCCTGCCTCCCTGTGCTGCTGACCACACCCTGCTCAGCTGTCGAGTGCTCAGCTGCACAGGGAGGCAGGGAAGCTCTGACTGGGCTACTTGCCCAATTGACATGATGTTATCGATGACGGCTGCACAGGCCATGGGAAGCCCGAAGAATGTATCGGGATGGTTTTGGAGGGAGGGTCTAAAGGTCCTGGTCACCCGTAGTTGTGATATTCATATTCATCTCCCAGGGCAGATGAATACTGTATGGATATCCTATCTCTCCTGTAAACTGCAGTCCCACCCACCAGCATTTCTCTGTCCCGCCCCTTCCTTTCAAAACATCCCAGCTTTGCTTCATGCAGTCCCAGTCCTTGGCAGCAGCTCATCTTCATTCCTTATTTGTCATACATGTACAGTACTAAGTGTGTAGTTTTCTATAAGCCCTGACTCATGTTGGCATGACCCTGGTAAGTCTTATGGTTGTGTTTATACCCAGAAGCTGATCCTTCACTATTTTGCCTATAGTTGCTTGTTTTTAAATGATAGGAGTTGCTTTCTACTAATATATTAAATTAGTGTTGATGGGACCAAAGTAATATTTTTAACAATTGCTTGCAGGCAGAGTACCACTTTGAATACACGGAGTGTGATAGCAGCGGATCCCGATGGAGGGTAGCGGTCCCCAATCCAGAAGAGGAATGTTCTGGTTTACCTGATCCTGTCAAAGGAAAAGAGTGCAGTATGTCTTTCCATTTTGTTTTGCTACAAATCTCATATAAACTTAGCATGTTCTTTTGTTCTTTACATGATTGAGGCTGCGATCTTGGTTTGTATATCTTTGCAAAATTATTGCCCTTGCACTATAAGAGGATGAAGTGTTTTGTGAAACTCTCAAAAAGAGAAGAGGAAGATGAATGGTGTTATTATGTGCCAATTAAGCAAAAACTGCACGAATAATGCTATAATGCTAATAATGTAAAATAAGGATGGTTAATGCTTTATTACATAGATTTTTGAGGATTAGATTACAAGGGGAGGGATCTCTGCAGCTTTTTAAAACAATCAGCTGGTCATTCTGTTCTTGGTGTGTGTGTGTGTGTGTGCCTTGCTTCTCAAAGGGGAAAATACATTGTTTTACACAGAGTTTGTGTAAATTACAGAGATCTTGGTGAGGAAAAAAAGAATCTCTTTGTCTTGCTTTGTCTTGCTTTTGCCTCCAGGTGAGTCATTCTACAGAAACTGAAAATTCCTCATGGACATGTCTTACGTAGGTTGAGGCAGCCAGAATCAATGAGAACAAAGGATCTAGCAAGCATTCTTTATATCTGTACTGCAATCCCAGGCTCTTTTACTTGCTCCCATTCTGGCTGTTAGATTCTAGGCGGTGTAGTGCCAAAGAAGATGTGGAGGGCCAAAATATTATACATATTTCAATATGCCTAATTAAGTAGAGAACTGTCAGAGTAATGCATGAAGTGTCTTTTATTGTACCAGTGTAATGCAGAGATTTATAAATAAAGCTCATTTTATTCATGCAACAACAATTTTAATATATGAATGAAGAAATGTATATGTATATCTCATGTAATTTTATATTTAGAGTCTAACAGTCAGAAACCTGAGTAACTGAAGCATCACCAGCACCTCAGCCAACTGTTGCATAATATTCTGGTTAAGCAGGTACATAGTGGGGTCAGGGACTTTTCTGTGGTAGCACCTAAATACCAAAATTTCTTTCCTAAGCATATGTCTCTATTCCTACCTTTTAACTACTGGAAGAAATATAGCTAGTCTGCTGAAATGAACTCTTAAATGTACTTGATTTCCTTTTATGTAGTATCTGACTCCCCAATTTTTATGAATGATTGAATGATCTTTTTTTAAAAAACATATTTCTTACTTTATTTTAGGCAGTCCATCACATTACAAACAGATAATACAATTAACTATTCAGTTTACTTGCTAAATATTTTAACATTCTAAACACCAGCTATTCACACCATTTAACAAAATTATACTGAATCTCAAATCCCCATTCCATCCTAGAAAGTTACCAACCAATAATCTGAGCAATCTGGATTATTTCCTAAATCACATGACTCCTCATTTAGTTCATTAGTGTATTTTAATAAATGTTTCCAAGTTTCAAAAAAATTGACTGTGTTTTATTTCTCCTCTGTATATTCTGATCTTATTGGTCAATTTTTCCATCAAGAGTGTTAGCCATATCCTATTCAAAAATGTCTGTAATGAAATATCTTGGGTGTTTTTCCATATTTTTGCTATCTCGCACCTTGCTGTCCCTATAATATTTGCAATTAGGTCTTTATTAAGTCGCTTCTCATTTCCCCATGTAAATGCTGAAAATAATGATGTTTCATTTGTGATTAATTTTTGATTAGTCAGTGTTTCTGTCGAATTGATTGCATCAAGCCAAAATGCTTCTATTTTTGGGAAAAAAATCCACGTGTTCCAAAGTTCCCTTTCATCCACATTTTCTCCAACACGTATCTGATATATCTCTAAACAGGAGATGAAAACAATAGTCTTTTCCTGCTGTTGTTCCCTACCTTCCATAGTGCTGGCATTCTCAGTCATGATGCCTCTAATTCTGGAGGCAGCATCCATCTTGCTTATCATTCTCAGGGAAGGCCAATTCAAAGCAGGAACATCTATAAATCATCCACTGCAAGTCTCATTGACCAGAGCCACATAGCTATCTGTGGGAGCTGGTGAGAAAGGGTCTGTCAGCACCTTGGACAGATCACCATGGCATATGTTAACTGGATCTCACAGAAGAGAGCTGTTGTCTTTGTTATGTTTGAGACCATCTGAAGGCTGTTCCCCCCTTTGGTGAACAATCTGCATCTGTGAAAGGACCATTCATAGATCCTCCAGTGACTAGCTCCTATGGTATGAGGGCAGTGAGGACAGCATTGGGGAATGCCCTCCAAGTCTGAGGATTTGGAGAGAGCCATACCCTCTTCTCTGGTAGATCTTGAACCACAGTGCAGTGCCTTGCTGGGTGGTGCCTCCTCCTCTCACTCAGTCCTCTGCTGAGCCAGAGAGGGGACTAAGATCAGAGTATTTGACAGCATGCACACACAGGGAAGAGTAGCTTTTGATAGCTTTGTCCTTCAGGAGTTTGTCTGATCTTCTTTCACCTCAATCCGTAACAGCGAATTTTGTGGTTAATATCTGCACCACTTCCCTTTCTGATTCCTGAATCTTCCACTGTTCAGCTTCATTTGATAACTCGGTATTCTCTGAGGAAAAGTGACAGAGAAAAATACACATGAGTACATTTGTAATGTTTCTAATCACTTGACATATTTTGATTATTATGATGGTTTTAGTTCCCCCCCCATGTGTTAGATATTTTGTTTTAATTTGACCTGTTTTAACCTCATGACCTGTCTTGAGTCATCTTCTGGGAAGAAAGGTGCCTAATAAATGCGGCTGAATGAATTAATAAATATCATGTCTTCTTGGACTCCTTGTTCACTTTTTCTCTAAACTTAAAAAAAAAACCCTTGCAATTTTTCTCTCCGAGGAATTTCTTGAACCCCTGATCTCTCTAGCTGATCCTTTATGCAGTTTTTTAAAAGCTTTACAATACCCTTTTTGCACACAGTATTCCAAGTGCAATTACACCATAAATTTGAATAAATGCATGCCATTGGCAGTTTTATTTTATTTCATCTCTTTCCGAAGTATCTTTAACATGGAATTCACTCTTTTCACAGCTGTCCCGTGGATGTGGGTAATTGTTTTTATTGAGCTATCCATCATGATGCAAGCTCTGTTCCCTGGTCAGTCACTGCCAGCTCAGACCTCATCAGTGTATGTGTGATGTGCATCTGCCCCAATAGGCGTCCTTTTACACTTGTTTACATTGACATGCATTTACTTTTTCAGGGGTGGTGGTGGTCTAATCAGCTTTCTAAGCTCCTTCCACCCCCAGTTCTTAATACTCCTTTTGTTTTTACCACCCTGAATAATCTGTTGTCATCAGCTGATTTGGCCACCTTATTGTTTACCCCACCTACATGAACAAGATAAAAGGATCTGTTCCTTTGAGGTGTCACTTTTCATTGAAAAAAATGCCTAGTTTGGTCTTTCTGCCTCCCATTCCCTAAGCCATCACCATTCCATAACAGGACCTGTCCTATGATTCTTGTTGGGAGCCACTGGTGACAGATTTGTCAAAACATTTTGAAAGTCCATGTACACAATGTCTGTCTATAGTTTCAGGTGATTTTTTTCGGGGACCTAATCTGATTTCACCGGAACCTTTATTAAAAAAAATAAGATTCATTTGAGGCTGACAGTCTATGTAGCTTTAATAAACAAAGTAAAATAAACATGAATAATTCCGGCTCTTTTAAAGAAGCGCCATATAAATTATTTTGGTTATGCTGGATCAGGAAAATAATTATCAAGATTATATTAACAATAGGAAAGTTCTGAATCTTGCTTTCATTTAAATGCTTCAAAGAAATCTTAGTTTAAAGATTGCATTTCTCTTGCTTAATGGTTTCGCTGCATGGCAGATTCTTGAGCTGTCCTCTGTTGACTTTAATCAGAGGTGTTTCTGTTCTGTCATACTGTGCAAAGAAAGCACGGAATATGGCTAAGTATATTGACACTGAATAAGGTAAAGGGAAAGGTTCCCCTTGACATTTTTTGTCCAGTTGTGTCCGACTCTAGGGGGCGATGCTCACCCTGTTTTTAAGCCATAGAACCAGCGCTTGTCCAAAGACAGTTTCCGTTGCCACGTGGCCAGCGTGACTAGAGAACCTTCCCACCGAGGTGGTACCTATTTATTTACTCATATTTACATGCTTTCAAACTGCTAGGTTGGCGAGGAGCTGGGACAAAGCGACGGGAGCTCACTCCATCGTGTGGATTCAATCTTATGACTGCTGGTCTTCTGACCCTGCAGCACAGGGTTCTGTGGTTTAGCCCGCAGTGCCACCACGCCCACCTATGTTCAGTTAAATAAAACTGAATAGTTTTATTTAAAATAAAATGTAGGTTTCAATGAAGAATGTTTTGAGGAATTGAGGAAACCAAAATGGTTGTTGCATAAAATTTGAGCGGGGCTGGGTGGGATCTACTGTTCATTGTGCTATCCCACAAACAAGAGATCTATGTGAATTATTATTTATATTAGAATTTAAATGTCATAAATCCACATGAATAATTGTATAGATCATAAGGCTATAGAATGCTGCCTTTCACTATTCAGAATTTTGGACAGTTAACTGCAAAAATTTGATTTAAAAACAAAATCATAGATTCTGCAACACTCTTAACTTGGATCATCTAAGTTTTCAAATTGTGTTCCTTCTGGGTCATCTAGAAACTCTTTGGAAGGCTTGTGGGGTTCATCAGTGAGAGAAATAATAGTGACTTACAGGCTTTCACAGCGGAGCACCTTGGTGGCTGTTGTCTGGCTTCTCCTGTGATGTGAAGCAGGGGGAAGATTAGGTGTGTTCTTAGTCATCTCCCAGGAATGAATCCCAGCAGGTGAGGCCCACACACTTCTTGCTGTGATGCCTCAGAAACTGCAGTGTGCAAATCAGTAGAGAAGGGTTTCTCGGATGAAATAAATTTTAGCTGCCCATGCTAAATAAGACACAAATCAAGTAGCCCAGCTGTCTAGGATGTCACAAGCAATTCATTTTGCCATTAGCCATACTCGGCCTCAGATTGAACCAGGCAAGCAGCTGGCATACTCAGAGTGACTTCTGTTTATGGACATATGCATTATGACAGGAAACGAGCAGCCTCCAGTGGTACATGGAAAGAGCTGGCAAAGGTATAAAAAGATGGTAATGAAGCAGCAATTAACTCTGCCCATAGCGTTGAAGGACTGTGATAATGTGCCAGTCTAGGATCTCCTTTATGGCATATTCATGTGAACATGATATTTCTCTGCTGAGAATGGATGACTGCACACCAAACACATCACAGCATTGCTACACCTTTAGGTAAAGGACGCATAGAATAGCGTGTGTGTCTTTTACTGTGTACATGGATCAAACCTGAAAGTCAGGTTTGGTTAGATTTTAAGTTGGAGATAAGTTGCTGAGAACATAGAACCCCCTTTTGCTGCATGCCAACCTGTTTCTTCAGAGGCCAGATAAGCATCATAAACATTGTGTAACCAACACAAGACAGCCTTAAAGACTGCATGGTCAGTAGAAAAGTGACTGAAAATATAACAGGTGGAGATTTCTTCCTTTCCTTCTTGGACACTGAGTAATAGATATTTAATTAATTCATGAGAAGCAGGGTATTTCGCTTTTTATTGCTGGAAATAAAATGAAGAACTATTGAGTGCATATGTGTGTGAGTATGGATGTGTAAGCAGTTGTGTAGGCAGATGGAATAATGTTGTACTGTATTAGTACCACATATGTTGCCACTACATCTGCTGGTATAATGTATAACATAGCTTTCTTAAAAAAAAGGTGGCTGGAACTTAAAGTGAATGAATGATGTGACATTGACCAGTTGTAAATATTTGTCTTCTCAGCTTTTTCTTGTGCCGCTGGGGAATACCTTGAAATGAAAAACCAGGTCTGCGGTAAATGTGCTGAAGGGACTTACTCCTTGGGAAGCGGGATCAAATTTGATGAATGGGATGACCTGCCTGCAGGATTCTCTAATGTAGCAACCTATATGGACACAGCTGTTGGCTCAACTGAGGGAAAAGCAGATAGTTGTGGCAAGTAAGAACATGATGCAGTTTTCCTCCCCATGGCCAAAGATTTGTTGAAACAAAGCTATGCCTGTATTCCAAGTGCTACTCTGCTTGTATCCCATTCTTGCTTTGTAGCTGTTAACACCAATGTTCTCATGCAGCCTTCTGTTTGGTGTCCTCCAGATGCACTGGAGTACAACTGCCACTTACAGAGCTGACATAGAAGCATCAAACTGGGACCTGGAATATCCAGATTCAAGTCCCCACTTGGTCATAAAGCTGAGAGATTAGATAACAAGCTCACTTTAGCCCAGTCCCTATTTCTCAACCTGAAATACTGAGGTTGAAGGAAGGGGCCCTAGTTCAGTGTGCCAAAGATCCCAGGCTGAATCCCTCAGATCTTCAAGTTGAGCTGGAAGTGGTCTTGTCTGAAACCCTTGAGAGCAGCTGCTGGTCAGAGAGGAAAATGCTGGTCTAGATGGACCAGTCATGTGATTCACAGAAGGCAGCTTCTTATGTTTCTATGTACCATAATTACTGGAGGGTCTGGCCAATAACCATGCCATTGGGATGACAGGAGTTTTAATTCTGTACATCTGGAGGACAACAAAGCGGGCAAAGCCATTCTAGTCAATCTTCTATCAAATCCATAGCAAGGTCAGTACCCACTTATCTCAAACAGTGCAACAGCGTCAGGCACTCTCACCTTATATTTCCTTTGTGCCAGTGCTAAACAACTGGCCTTGTTTAGTGAAACTAGCATGTAGTGGTCTTCCTTCCAGAACCTGATGCCAGCATTTCAGCTTCACATAGGTTTCTGAGCTGAGATTCAGCCCAGCTCCTAACCTCCCAAGTCACTTGAAAAGAAATAACAATTTTAAAGTTTGGAGAAATGAGATCTTGACAAATTGCTAGTTGTGAAATGTCATCTGTTTCTAGACAGGTCCCACCTCCCTTGAAATAATTGAAATAATGTTATATTAATCTGTTTGAGTGTTTACCGGAGCTAAGAAGTGTTTTTATACAGCTACATCAGTTGTAAAATCAATTTTTCTCTTAACCTAGACAAGGGATCAATGAGAAGCTATTTTGTGTTTTTTTTATTTCCTTGAATGTTTTTAAGCTCAGTAATTTATTAAATAGCATAAGAGTTAAGGATACCTCATAGATGCCTGTCTCATAAAACAAGCCTTATTTCTGTTTCTTTTTGTCCAGATCTACGTGGACCCCACGTGGGAATTACGTTGAGTCAAACAGGGATGACTGTACCGTCTCCTTGATCTACACTGTGCACTTGAAGAAGTCCGGTTCAGTCACCTTTGAGTACCAGTATATTGACAACAACATCTTCTTTGAGTTTTTTGTAAGGCAATTTTTTTTTTGCTCTTAAGTATATATTAGAGGCAAATTGAGTATCAGCGTTCCAAAAAGAACTTGCACAGTGGCTGAAATCCAGTAATAAGGAGCAACTAGAGTAGGCCTATTGAATCCGCGGGGATTTGGTGAGTTAACACCTATGTAAGTTTATTGATTCATTGGGCCTACTCTAGTTGCCCCTTACTACTGCATTTCAGCTAGTATGTTTTTTTGAGGCAGGTTATTGACATCTTGACTATCTTTCCTTCCATTAGGTTTATGAGATTATGAACCTGTCTGATACTTATTGAGACCGTTGTTGTCTCCTAACCCAGGACTGTCAAACCCAGTTTGACAGCAGCCCTCCAAGGGATCAAGAGGTTTTATTCCTCCTACCTTTATATGCTTTGTGAACTGAAATCTTGTTCAGCTTTATGAGTGAGATGTTTGCCAGTCTTCTAGGTGCTGAGTAGTCAAATCTACAATCCAGTTAAACCAAACAATTTGGATCTAGCTGGTTTAGGACAGAGTCCCATTGTCTTGAACTCAGTCACATCTACGGAAGAGTTCAGGAACCTCTTTCAAGAGCTCAAAAGCCACATTCAATATCGGATACATTCTTGGTAGGCCATATTCCAGAGATAATCAAAGCCAAAGGTAAAAAAAAGGGGAGGACAAAAATTTTTTTAGCACGCTTGAGCTTAAAGCTTGTACTCCTAGGAACTAAGGACTTCTTTAGCCTTCAATTAGGAGAGGCATTTCAGCCTTTTAGAATGGGGAAGAGTCATACAGAACTAAATAGACAATAGTATCCTGGGGAAGGGGATGCCCCCTTGTGAGGGGTGCAATAAGGGCAGGTTGGGACTGTGGGAGACCCAATTTAGAACCAGGGCCTGAGATTTCCTGCCTGGATCTCTGCATCTTCATGACTGCTGAGTTGGCACAGAGAAAGAGTGGGCAAAATTTGACCTTCCAAATATTCTTGGATGGTAGGTCCCATCTGACAATGTGCTCTCTGTACCTAATCAGATCCTCAGTTGGATGGGCTTGCATTTGACTTGGCTGCTCAAAAGATGGGTTGCCACCTGAACAGACAAAGAGAACCAGAGGAAAAGAGGAGCAAGGTAGCCAAATTGGTTAGATGATGGGTCATGTTTGTTTTGTCTTAGCAGTTGCTAGAACATCTCATGTAAAAGCCAGAATTTTGGACCACTTCCCAGAATTGCTGAAGTAAAGCTTAAATCTTGTTTAACGACAGTCAGCAAATGTATCTTGACAACATACACTGTGGAAACAATGAGACCCATGTTAAGGCATTAAGGAGACAAAGGGTTCATCTGCTGCCTTATTTCTTACATTATCTGTGGGAAGGGATGGATGTACTCTCTTTGTAGCCACTTCCTCCATCTTCAGGCTATTGAAGATGAGGTGTATTTATTTATTCATTTATTGATTTACTTATCAATTTGTTTGTTTGTTCATTTGTTCATTCGTTTGTGCGTTTGTATACCGCCCATCTGGCTACAAGGTGCGGTGTCAGAACAGTGTGATATATAAGCATCTGTGGGGATTGTTCTGACACTTCCTCACTTTATTATGCAGACTCCTCTCTCCTCAACAGAGGCATTAAAGAATTTGGTAGCCCCAATGACAGGAATAGTAAACATTTACGCCTGTCAATTTTCATAAGCAAAGCTTGCGTTTGTATACTGCCCATCTGGCTACAAGGTGTGGTGTCAGAACAGTGTGATATATAAGCATCTGTGGGGATTGTTCTGACACTTCCTCACTTTATTATGCAGACTCCTCTCTCCTCAACAGAGGCATTAAAGAATTTGGTAGCCCCAATGACAGGAATAGTAAACATTTACGCCTGTCAATTTTCATAAGCAAAGCTTGGAAAACTACAGTGTTCAGAATTTCCTAGCAAGAAGGTTTCCTAAACATGGCCTGTAAGGACTCATCCCTTGACCTCTTCAGGTGTCCTGGTTCTTGAATTCCGGAAATCAAAAGCTGGCAACTTTTACATTACTGAAGCTTCTTTTCCAGTGCACAGCAAAAAAGCTTTGGGTGGCTGAAGTTCCTAACACATGCTGCCTTCTGTGCCCCTAACAATGGTATGTGGGTGGCTGAACAGGAACAGATGAGACAGGACTCTAATAGGTGGTTCAGAATAAGGAGACATTTTTTCATCCTGCCCGCACTGACATTCTCCTTTTGTGTGGGAGATGATTCACCCCTCTTTCAGTCTCAGAAGCATAGCACTGAGTATTTGCTGTTGTGTAGGGATTTTGGCCTTAATTAACATTTACAGACTGGAGACAATGAGCAGAAGAGCTGGGCTCATGAAGCCATGTAATTATGTGCAAGGCATGAAGACAGAGGTGAAGCAATCACACCAGCTTAGGGCACCTTCCTTCTATTAATTCAATACCATCTATCATACTTTAGTTGCCACCAAAGCAGCATTTCCTCTAATAGGAAATGAATTTTATCCTCCTCTCCCCTCAACACTGTTCACTTGTTGGATTCCTAAGAAAGGAGCCACAGGTGATTAGCATCTAGAGACATTGGATACACACAAATTTTAGCCACTTGGCTGGTCACCAATTGATTTTTTCCTCTCACAGAAAAGCAAAAGCCTTGACTGTTTTAGTATTAGGGCTGAAAATCACTTCCTTCCTATGATTTATTTGGATCAAAACAACCTTGATAGGTTTTTAGCACTTTAAGCCTGTCAAAAGACACATTAAGCAAGAACTACTGTAAGTGTCATGTAGTGGTTAGAATACGAGCCCATGCAGATAAAGATAGGGAGACCGACATGTAATTGTTTTGAATTCATTTTTACTGGATTCCCTGGTGTGTCTGTTCAACCTACTTTCCCTTACTTGAGAACATCTGTCTGCAGCAGAGATCCCCAACCCCCAGTCTGTGGCCCGGTGCCAGTCCGTGGCCTGAGCCAGACTGGGCCACCGAGACAGACCTCCTGCCCCACCCCCCACACAGCCCGTTTGTGCCTGCGCGCTCCAGCACACCTGGGCAAATGCTGCACCACCGTTTGCACATGCCCATGAGCGCAAGTGTGCCCTGACAAGTGCTGTGCCACTGTTTGCACATGTGCATGAGCACTCGTGCAAGAGAGCAAGAGCATTTGTTTGTGCATGCGCATGAGTGCGGGGGTGCCCCGCCTTCCCCAGCCGGTCTACAGACTGAAAAAGGTTGGGAACCGCTGGTCTATAGTATTTTAAAGTCCCAGGTTCAAATATCACCCCAGCTACAAGCTGGCCAAGTATCAGTCTCATTTTCCTATTTGCATTTTGGAATTAGGTTGTCCAGACATAATGTGAAGTAGGGTGGGGCACCTCTCTCGGACAACAGATGTTGGTGGAGGGAAAACAGTGGTAGTATATTGGCAGGAAAGAGCTGTTTGGAGGTGGGTTCAATTTCTAATCCAGTCAGCTTCTGCTATGAAATGAAGGAGGGCATCTTGGCCTTCAGCTCAAGGAGCAAGATATTAATTGAGCAGAAGTGAACACTAGCCTGGCAAAGAGCACTGCTGATATCATTCTGCCTCCTCAATTTGTTTAAAAATTGAAAGTATGGTAATCTGGATTTAGTCAAATGGTGCTCATGTACTTCATTCCTGTCTTCAAACCCGGAGCTACTGTGGAGTGCACTCAATTGTATTATTTTAGTAATTAGTAACCCACTATGGGGATTAGATACCCAGTGTGGTGCAGTGGATAGAGACTCAGGGGGTCCAGGAGGGCTGTCCCTCCAAAAAAAGGTACAGAAGGAAGGGTGTACAGTCCTAAAAAGTTGTCTGCCCTGCCTTAGAGAAATGGCTCTTCTCCCATGTTTATCCTTTTTGTTTAGGTTCTGTGAATGCTTGAAATGTGAACTTCTGGAAGTATCTGTAAGGGTTACCTCACAGAGACCTCCTACACAGTTGCTCCAAACACAGCAGCATATTATTATCACTTTTCTTAAAATCCTGCTGTTACAGAAAAACCCATAATTTTTGCTGCACTGCTGTTGAACAATTTTGCTATTTTGGGGAAGAATGATTTGCTTGTGAGCCAGGGAAAATTGCCCAGTAGGGTGCCATCCACCTCACAGACATCCATGGGATAATAACCAATGATCACCTAAGCTGGCAGAGTGCTGGTAGGCATCAGGCATAATATATCAGCTGGAATGAAATCACTGAAATTTGTCTGTGATCATTGGTCTGTCACTATCTACAGAATTGTTTCTGAAAACATCACAAGCAAATCACAGTGGGGATACCCATCTCAGTGGTTTGCTTCAAGCACCTGGTAATTAAAAAAAACCTACCATCTTCCAATATAGAGGTTTGTTACTGGAGTTAATAGCTTTCAGTGGGCTTTTAGTTAATGTTTTTCACTCTGCTGGATATCTATGTTATTAACTATCACCACATCTTGTTGTGAACACCGTGATTTAATTAATTCGTGGGAAAAATGCTTTACTTGGCTTGAAGCAACTGCTGATCAAGTTCTTAGTGGGATGGGTCTCCTTAAAATTAACCCTGCATGTCTGTCACAAGGATGGGTGACTGAGCCCCTCCCAATTTTTTTTTAATTGCAACTCCCATGAGCCTTAGCTGGCATAGCCAGTGGTGAAGTGCTGTAGGAGTTTCAGTCTTAAAACATCTGGAAGGTCACAGCAGCTAACCTCTCTCTGTTAGGCATCTTTCAGGATCCTGAGAACTGGTGTAGTGCAGTGGATAAAAGTGTGAACTAGGAGGAATTTACTTGGTCCGGCTATTATCTAGAAGCAATAGTTTTGGCTAGCTGAATGGGCCTGTGTAAGAATTGTTGAGAGGCATGTGAAATGTGTTGAATACATTAGAACACACACCATATTAATGTCATTTGTTTTACTTGAGAGAAAATTAATCTGATTGTTTCCATTATTTTTAAACAACAGATTCAAAATGACCAATGTCAGGAGATGGATGCTACAAGTGATAAGTGGGTGAAACTGACTGATAATGGTGAATGGGGCTCCCATTTTGTAAGTATGATGTTCATAAATGGATATAGTAGAAACCTGTTTATTTCAAGACTGATGAGATACTAGTCATGAAAATTGGGTTTGTCTCCCTGTTTCTCTGAAATGGTTTGTGAATTCAGTCTGAACCCTTGTCAGCTTCCAAGGAACTCCCCTGGGGTTTGCTGTCTAGTTCTCTTGGACCTGGAGACAGATGTGGATGGGCAATCTGTTTTCCTGAAAGAAGTCTTTGATCTAGACTACTGAGCTGTTAGTGGATGTGTGCCAGTTGCTGGAAGCAGATGTAGAGCTACATGTTACACTCTTTCCATGTGAAAAGTAGCCAAGCTGTAGCGTTTTAACATTCTCAAGACTTCCTCTTGTAGTCATGCTAAACTGGACTGGTTTGCCCTGAAGCCATTCTGAAAAGCAATAAGATGACTGATTAGTGGACCTCCATCTTGGGTGATTTTGGGTTTACTAATAGTCTGATCACAAACAGCTCAAAATGCAGTGAGGTACATGTGCAATTGCTTATTGGCTGAGACTGGCTTAATCTCTTAATGTGCCGGCATAATGTACAATTTCAAAACCCAGTTTTAGTGGATTCCCTGTCAAGTTGGTTTTTACAGGTATGACTAACAGGCCCTTTTGAAAACCAAACAGAAAATATAATATAATATAATATTTAATCCACCTGTGCCTGGGAAAGAGTTGTCCCTTTTATTTGCAGAGAAATGCCTTATCTCTGTTTTGAAAATTCCTTGTTGAACTTGTGAGCTTATTAAACAGGGTGAAGCGTTCCTTCGCAATAGTTTCACTTTGCTTAACTTGCCTGGGAGCAGTGAGGGAGCTGATTCTGTATATGTTAAACATTGGTCTGTCATTCTGTTTGTCTGAACTGTTTGCTTAGCAGTTCCTTCAGACTAGTTCAACAAAACAGGTTGTGGTTTCTTCCGAAATATTTATGGCCTCACATTGCTCATACCATGCAGGGATTCTGTTTTACCTCTTACTAGTATTTACAGCAAGAGTTAATGATTGCATTTAATTATTGGTCACTGCCAAAAATCAAACAGTAACTGGTGGTACGAGGACTATACCAGAGGATAGCCAGGCGTGCAAACAACTAAACAGCACTGCAGCTCCACAATCCCTTATTTGCAGTTTGAAGTCATACGATAAACAAAAGTCGCTGCCCTGTAACTTTGCCATGTGACTTCCTCAATAGATGGCTGTAGGCAGTCGTTTCCCCTCTGCTGACAGAAAGTTTTATAATCCAATGGAAGTATCTGGAAGTGGAACCGGAATGATTGTCAGATTTTCTTCCCTTGCCCACTGCCCCACACCATCTCCCACTGGGTTTTCTAGGGGTGGGAGTTACAAGGACTTATTGGGGGAGAGAGGAGGAATTACTGAAATCCCCCCCCCTTCTGCAGATGGATGCTTCCATTGGATCACAGAGCCTTCTGTCAATAGAGGAGCATGGCGTGGGTACAACTGAGGGCCAAATAATACAGGTAATCCATCAACAATGTATCTGAATGTCAGAGGAAGAACTATTTGCCAATTAGCCTGCTTTGTTTTATGACTGGGCATCAGGAGATAAACACAGGCTTCGCATGCAGTGTATGATTGTACAACCAGAAATGTCTGTCTGAATCATTGTTTCTGGAGGCTGCCCATTCTCCCAAAGCGTACTCTGTTTTATCGTTAATCTGTGTCAACGTGAGGCTTGTATAATGATTGTTCCATCTCTTTTCCTCCCTCAAGGTAACACTAAAATCAGGTACTAATATATTATACTGGAGAACAACAGGGATCCTTATGGGTTCGCAGGTGGTGAAGCCTGTACTAGTTAAAAACATCACAATTGAAGGTATAAAATATAGTATGTATAATGATAATTGTATGGAAAGTTTTGAAAAATATTGTTACAGCTCAGTGGTGTTTGTTATATATATTGGCTGAAATCCTTCGGTTTAGGGTAGTATGTCACAACAGTAGGCCCATTTAGTAAATGGGGATTTGGTGAGTCAATTCTATAAATTCAAATGGGCCTATTCTAGTTGTGACTTACTTTAGTGTAATAAATAGCAGTTAAAGGAGGTCCATCTGAATCAATGGAATTTACAGAGGAGTTCACTCACCAGATCACCACTGATTCTGTGGGCCTATTCTTGCGCAACTTACAGTCTCTGTATGGGGCATGGGGTGAGTCAAATCCCAAGCAAAAACAAGACAATTTTGCTTTTTTTTCTAAAAGAAGAACTGGTGGATAGCTCAGTGGCTTATGTCTCTGGTTGCACAGCCAGAGACTGGGAGTTCGATTCCCCACTGTGCCTCCATGACAGAGGCTCGACTTGATGATCCATCAGGTCCCCTTCCAGCTCTGCAGTTCTAAGATTATTTATTTGTAAAGGAACAATTGCTCAGTTATGTGTGATGGTCATTATGCACTTCTATATGTATTCTTTTCACAACCAATGTTTTTGTTTGAGGAGAATGTTATAGATCATTTCAGTTTTAATTTATTAGCTTCTAGTCTTTCTCACTGTCCTCCAGGCTGATGCTATTGCTTTGAAACAATGTTAAGAATTGTGTGGCTTACCCATTTAGGTCTTTATCGGATCCTTTACTTGAAAGTTGAAGGGTGACACCTGCTGGGAATAGCTAGATGTGCAGAGAGAATAATATATATCTGTTTACAAAAGGGTCTGTATTTGTGCTACTTTGTCTCTATATCGTCTGTTCTCTTACTCAGTTGGCTGAAAAGAAAGATTATTTAAAATCTGTTATCTGTGACAGGGAACTTTCAACATGATGACTTCCAAGACCACTCTTCCAACTCATTCATTGATGTCAGGGACAGTGCTTAGAATGCTCCTTTTTTTAAAAAAAGCAATTCATTGCTTGCTAGTCTTTATTTCTAAAGTGTAGTTCATTGCCTATGTTGTTGTTGTTTAGTCGTTTAGTCATGTCTGACTCTTTGTGACCCCATGGACTGAGCACGCCAGGCCCTCCTGTCTTCCACTGCCTCCCAGAGTTTGGTCAAATTCATGTTGGTAGCTTCAGTGACACTGTCCAACTATCTCGTCCTCTGTTGTCCCCTTCTCCTCTTGCCCTCACTCTTTCCCAACATCAGGGTCTTTTCCAGGGAGGCTTCTCTTCTCATGAGATGGCCAAAGTATTGGAGCCTCACCTTCAGGATCTGTCCTTCCAGTGAGCACTCAGGCTTGATTTCCTTTAGAATGGATAGGTTTGTTCTCCTTACAGTCCAGGGGACTCTCAAGAGTGTCCTCCAGCGCCACAATTCAAAAGCATCAATTCTTCGGCGGTCAGCTTTATGGTCCAGCTCTCACTTCCATGCATCACTACTGGAAAAAAACCGTATAGCTTTGACTATTTGGACTTTTGTTGTCAAGGTGATGTCTCTGCTTTTTAAGATGCTGTCTAGGTTTGTCACTGCTTTCCTCTTAAGAAGCAGGTTCTTTTTAATTTCGTGGCTGCTGTCACCCTCTGCAGTGATCATGGAGCCTAAGAAAGTAAAATTTGCCACTGCCTCCATCTCTTCCCCTTCTATTTGCCAGGAGGTGATGGGACTAGTGGCCATGATCTTAGGTTTTTTTTATGTTGACCATTTTTCTGCTCCCCTCTTTCACCCTCATGAAGAGGTTCTTTAATTCCTCCTCACTTTCTGCCATCAGAGTGGTATCATCTGCATATCTGAGGTTATGGATATTTCTTCCAGCAGTCTTAATTCTGGCTTGGGAGTTGTTTTTGAGATTGTATCACAGTACAGCTTTTCCCATTCTTTTGTTGACTATGAGGGCCACTCCATTTCTTCTACAGGATTCTTGCCCACAGTAGTAGATATGACAATCATCTGAATTACATTCCATATTTCTATGCAGTATTTTTCTTTGCAGCATCGGACTTTCCTTTCACTTCCAGGCGTGTCCGCAGCTGAGTGTCCTTTCAGCTTTCACCCAACCATTTCATTACCTCTGGAGCTACTTGTACTTGTCCTCCGCTCTTCCTCAGGAGCATGTTGGACGCCTTTTGACCTGAGGGGCTCATCTTCCAGTGTCATATCTTTTAGCCTTTTGTTTCTGTCCATGGAGTTTTCTTGACAAAGTTACTGGAGTGGCATTGCCAGTTCCTGCTCTAGGTGGATCGCGTTTACTCAGATCTCTCCACTATGTCCTGTCCATCTTGGGTGGCCCTGCATGGCATAGCCCATAGCTTCTCTGAATTACTCAAGCGCCTTCACCATGACAAGGTGATCCATGAAGGAGATCATGACAGCTACCCAGCTTCAAAGGTAGATGGTGAATCCAGAACTAACCACAGCGTAGGATAGCATATCATATCCAGGTTGCCAAATAACTTATCTGTTAACAACGTGGCCCTTCACATTGTTTGAAGCTTGAATGAAGAAGCTTGAATGAAAATGTAAAATCCCTACAGTCATATGTTAAACAAAATGTTATGTTACTTGAATATGCAAAAAACATGTAGATGTGCATCTCGGAGAAGTTGTTCTTTGATGCCCCATGAGACATGGTGGTGGTGTCGTACTGGAGATGCCATTCTTTCCTGCAGCTCCTTTTTAGTGGGTTAATGGGTGCTGACGACTGCTGCCCCTTACATATCTTAGCAGTCTGCTGTCTGAAGTGATAATCAGTCTCTTTCCTAATAAAGCCTATGTGTGTAACCAAGTTCTCTTTCTCTTCCACATCATGCTAGAGTCCATAGAGTCCATTGGCAGCCCAGAACAAACCTAGCTGCCAGGGGGAAAAACCCCCCTGCAAATCCACCTTAGGAGACCTCTTTCTCTCTTTGCCTGGGTCCTGAGCTGATTCAGACTGAATGCTAGGTGTGTCAGAGGAAGTGTAGGTACTTGGTGTCACAGTCAATTTGGATCTTATTTAATCCCATCCTTCATCTGTTACATACATTGTGACAAGATCTTATAATAAACATATTTAGAAGCCTTAAAATAGTTTCTGAAATTTATGCAGCCAAATTGTTAACTGGGGCTAGTTAGAGGGGACACATAACACCCCCTGTTACAGCAGCTCCACAGGCTGCTGATCCTCTCCTAGGCACAAAGTACTGCTTTTAGCCTATAAAGCCCAACATGGTTTGGATCCAAGCTATCTCAAGGATTGTGTCTCCCTTCATAAGCCTGCCTGGGTATTAAGAAAATCAGTGGTTCCATCACATTCAAAGGTGCATTTGGTGGGGACATGGGAGAGGACCTTCTCTTTCACTGCACCTAGACTTTGGAACTCCCATCCACAGGAGGCCAGATTGGCCAAATCTTTGCTGTCCTTCCACAAGCAGACAAAGACCTTTCTCTTCAGGCAAGCTTCCTCTCAGTGATTGGTTGTCTGAGAGGAGGTTTTAAGTGGAGTATTGTGCCTTGTTGCTTTGAATCTGTTTTTTGGTGTTGATTTTGTTTACCATGTTGATTGTGGTATTTGTTTGACTCTTTTTAATATTTTTATATTTACTGTTTTTAAGCTCTTATACATTGTCATTTTACGATGTAAGCCACCTTGGTTCTTTTTTAAAGATAAAGGTGGGATAAAACATTTAAAGTAAATAAAATAAATAAATAGCTTTTTGATGCTATTGGGATGTTTTGTATTTAGTCCAAAGCACATGCTTAGTGATTTTGTGTGGTTCAGGTGAAAATAATGAGCAGTCTACTCATTTATCACCTTTCTAGTCTAGTCTGCCCATTCCCCAAGGAGCCTTGAATGGCTTCCAATATCCTTACCTCAATGACAGAAACCATGTTTTTGTGGGAAAGGTTCCGCGTTCACTGACATCTCCAATTACCAGGCAGCAAGTGTTGCAACAGATCTCTTTGCAAGCCCTAGGAGAGCTATTGCCAGTCAAGAAGAGACTGTCCTGGCCCAGTAACATGAATAGTAATGTATGCTAAAGTAGTTTTCTAATGGTGTGGTAACCCAGGGAGTATCCCAGCTGAATAGGGCCCTATTTCTTCTTGGTCCAGCATTTCCATCACAACACACTTGCTTCCCAGAATTGCTCTGGAATGTACGTCCATGTGTTTCTGTACTTGTAGAATTGCTACATTTCTATGTATTTTTTTTAACAGGGGTGGCCTATACCTCTGAATGCTTTCCCTGCAAACCTGGCACATTCAGCAACGTATCGGGGTCTTCCACATGCCAGGTGTGTCCTCGAAATACCTACTCGGAAAAAGGTGCTAAGGAATGCACCAAGTGTGAAGAAGAAACACACTATGCAGGTACTGTGTAGGTACCAAAGACAACGGAAGGCTGTGTCCAGTTCAGACCTATGGTTTAACTTCATATGCTGCCATGAATTTCTTCAAGCCAATCAATACTGTTGATGCTGGCTATTTGTTTAATTTACTTAATACAGCATGCATTTCCCACCTCGCTTAGCAAAGTGTACAGGCAGTTACAAATCCATGGAGAACACAGTACAACATATTAGCGCTGTTCAAATCATAATTCTCAAACAATGTAATAATTACATGCTGTCAAGTCAATCTTAACAAGATTTTCTAGTTACAAAGTACTCTGAAATGATTTCTCAGTCCCTCCTTCTGCTGATGCTCAAGGACTGTGCCAATTGCTTTTGGCTGCACGGGTGGCAGGGTGGCAGGGCACATTGCTCTATCCGCCAGACATACTGTGATCAATCTCAGCTGGTCTGTCTCCTGGGAGGCTTCAGAAGATGCAGAGGAGAAAATGAAGGAATGGGCTTAACTAAGTCATACTGTTTCCCATGAATTCAATGATTATTTTGTCAACTGTGATTTGCTTTCAGATGAAGGATCAAGCCAGTGTAAGGAACGCCTTCCGTGTTCAAACAAAGATTTTTTCCAGATCCACACGCCGTGTGATCAAGAAGGGAAGGTGAGTGTCAGCAGGCAGGCTATCTCAGAACTGTTCTTTCCAGGAGACCTCACTGTCTTCAGTGAAGCATTGGTGGCCTAACAGGTTGCACCTCAGGGACGCAAAGCCAGATACTTCTGAGTTCTCTTCTCTACCTCTAAATTTGCCTTGTGTGTAATATCTTGGTTGTGTCACTTAATACTTTTAAACAGCTGGCTTGCAAAAGCCATGTCATCTCTGATGTAATAGCTTAGAGTATCAGATGAGTCTTTCATTGCGTGGTTGACCCTATCTCATTTATGGAGTTTCATGTGGGGTTCGGACAACATGCTCTTTCTCTTGCAACCTTCCTTTGTTTTCCTGTTGCGTCTACTTTTTTCTTTCTGCAGATAAGCTATAAAGGAAAAAGAGGGAAAATAGTTGGAGAACACCTGTGTAATGTCACCCTATAAGCCAAAGGCAGCCTATGACTTGATCACTTTTTGGTTGAAAGTCCTCCTTGTTCAGACCATGAGCTTCCCCTGGTAGGAGCTGCCCACCTGGAAGTGCCCCCTCTCCTTCAATAGCCACATTAGTCACTTCACCTCCAGAAACTGCCAGGAACAAACATAATTGCCACACTCTTCTATAGTATACCCTGATAGGGTGATACCATACATTAAAGAGGATGCATATTTCCTGCCCTTATAATATTTTCTCTCTAGGCATGTAAATCTTTCAAAGCTTCATGCCTGAGAAATTAGACATGCCAATATTTCTCTCCTGATGACCAATTATAAAACAAGAGAAACTTAATTCTGAAAACTGCCAATTGAGATGAACTTGTCTTAAAACCAATAGGCGATGTTTTGCTTTCTCAGGAAGCTTTGCTTCTCATGGTGTGTTGATTGTGCTGTCTATTTCAGCCCATAATCTGCTAAAAAGGAAGAGAGTAAAAGGCTATACAATTCCTTATGATGGGAAGCATTAAGAGCTATTCCTTTCGAAGAAGCTACACATTTCCCATTCTGCTCTCTTCTACCAATCCAGTGAAACTTGGTTGGCTGTCCCTGCTTTCTTTGCATAAGAATGTGCATTTGATAATAGAGATCCTTTACATTAATTTGTTCTTTGCAGTCTCTCATCTTTCCTGTTCTGCTTTTTTTATTTTTGAGATAGCACTAAAACATTTTTCTATCAATTTTCCAATTTGAAGTTGATGCCAAACGTGAAACGAATGTGCACATGCTAGATAAATAAACATTACATTTTCAAGATTTGATATGAAGTTTGGCACCCATGATGGGAAGAGTTACTTCTTTTGGACCACAACCCCAGCCTGTCTTCAATTTCTGCAGTCGAACTTGACGTTTGATAATATGTGACAATGGGCTTGTGATGGAATTAGTTAATACTATAGTTGGCTTGTTTACTTGTCTCAACAATGAAAAACAGATGGGTGTTGGTATCAAAATTAGGTTCCAAAATCTGAATGTTGAATTTGGAGATTTTAAAAGGTTTAAAAGCTAAATTGCCAATTTGGACAAAATTAAAAATTACATTCTAGCACTGGTTTACAATACATGTTCCGAAAGCATCATGGAACACCTGTATTGTGTTGAAAAATTTGCCTTCTCCCACTCCTTGGGAATGCAGTTGACTCAGGCAATACGACACCTGGAAAGAGATAAGGTGTTATGTTGTTTAACTCACTAGGTTAAAGGGCTTTGCTGTGGAGCCAGGGCTGGGAGTTTGCATTCTTGCGGTGTTTTCTGGGAAACTAGCCAAGTGAGGTCATCTGGCATGTATGTGGCTGATAGAGTTATATGCCCTGTAACCTATGCCACCAGAAATAAGGAGTAGTAAATAGAAGCATGCTATTTTTTATGGGGAGGGGAGGTGTGTGTTTTTTGGACTCCCAACTCCCAGACCAACGGACTTACATGCACACCTAAAATTCACCCACATGGAACAGGGCCCACTTCAGAGGCTCCGGAGGGCTGTGTTTCAAGTTGTCAATGCACCAAAATGGAAGATGCCGCTGTGCTTTTGTAGTATTTCTGGTGCCCTTCACTCCCCTGTTATCCAAAAGAATATGCCTGCAAAAGGAAGATCTGAATGCGTGTAGACTCTTCCTATGGCCTGATACTCAGGAGGATTGCCTCTGCAAATATGTAACCAACATAGGCATGGGAGGGAGGTTGGCAGGACTAGTAGAAGGCATGCTAGTTGGGGCAGTGGGGTCAGGGAGCATGAGCCCATTTTCCTCCTCAATAAATAACTGTGTAAAAGAAAATGCCTGAACAATATTTCTCTTTCTGTGTACCTAAGTGTCAAATTATATGATATAGTATATCATAGCTGTTCCACAGGGCCTGAGCAATCAGACTTGCAAATAAGCAAGACTGCCCATGTTTACCTCCCAATGACCAATCACAAAACAAGCTAATTTGCAACATAAGGAGATGAGAAAGCTTGTGCTACGACAAAGAGGCATTGTTCAACATTTAGCAAGCTCCTGATTCTCACAATTCACGTATCTGTACAATTAAACTCTAAGGGTTTGTCAACTGGCATTCTCTTTGTTTTATACAGGACATTGCTCTTGGTTTTTTTTTTGTTAACTTAATAGTATTTCTTCCTCTCCGTTCTGCCTAAAAAAATATGAAACATGGCTTTAGGCCTAGAGAAAACATTGCTAAAGCTTTAGCCCTAGTGAATACATTACTTTTTTTCAATATATTTAGTTGTTTTTTTTAAATTTCAGACTCAGCTCATGTATAAATGGGTAGAACCTAAGATCTGCAGGGATGACATCCCTGAAGCTGTGAAACTGCCCCCTTCGGGAGAGAGGAAAGAGTGTCCACCTTGCAACCCCGGTTTCTACAACAATGGATCATCCTTCTGCACTCCTTGTCCTCTGGGCACATTTTCTGATGGCACAAAGGGTATAATTAAAACTCTATATCAACAATTGGTTATTTTCTTGAACTGGAGACTGACAATCCTTTCCATCCAGTGTTTCAAATATGACATGGAGACTGTTACCTATGGTCTTACTTGTCCACTCCACTATTGACAATGATAAAACGGAATCTTGTACTGTTTTAAAAATCTACAAAAACCATCTCACCAAAGACTGAAGCCATGTTTGATTTCTCTCTGAAGCAGTTACTTCACTATATGTAACCCATTTTCTGAACAATTGCCTTTGCTGATATATTTAATTTTGCAGTACTTTATATGTTTGCTACCTAACATAGGTGCCTTTATTTAAGATATATATAATATATAAAATAATATATAAAATAATGTAGGATACTCTTCAGGGGTTATGTCCTCTGTCCTCCCTTCTGTATTTGATGGGTTTTAAGTGTTCTTTTTAATTAGGAGACTTTCATGTGTCAACATTTGTAATGAAGAATTCCGTGACACTCTTCTATACTCTGATTAAGAAGCTTCTTTAAACATGAAGAAACACCCAAGAATGGCGTGTTCTTGTGTCATCTAGGAAATAGGTTCATTTTATATCAATGTATTCAATGAATATCTTTTAACTTTTTCTGTTCTTGTAGACTGCAAAACCTGCCCTGCGGGTACAGAACCAGTGCTCGGACTGGAGTATAAATGGTGGAATGTGTTACCTCTCAATATGAAGACTTCTTGTTTCAATGTTGGAAATTCAAAATGTGATGGAATGAATGGTGAGCTAGGCTTTTCATGTTTCTATGTCCAGCTTCTTGTTTCTTTGAATTTCTTAAGAGCTGGTGTAATGATTGAGGACTCAAATTGCATATGAGGTCTAGTTCATCATCAGGAATTGTGTTCGTATACTCTCTTCATTTAATTACAGGAGTGGGACAAAAATTGGGGAGACTACTGATGTTCATTGGGTCACAGCATGTTTACAGTATGCATGGAAAATAAATGCATGATCCTGGTGATTCCCCCTGATCTTTGAAGCTTAGAAAGTGCTTCCAACAGGATTGATGCTGTTGGGAGCATTATCTAAAATCCTTGTAAGCACACCTAGGAGGGGTTATTTGAATCATGATTAGGGAGTTAGGGTTAAACCTTCTCTCTCACATGCTGTGGTCACAAGGAAGACCCTGGCATCCCAGCAGCACCTGTAATAATTAAAAGAAGAAACTGAATGTATTCCTAGAGACACATCATGTGGCGTTTGGCCCTAAGGATCAAATTACATGTTAAAGAAAATTTCTTATTTCCTCCACCATTTTGCGTCTGGGGAAATTCCTGCAAAGCTTTGTGAGTGAAAAGTCAGACTTTCAAATGTAACCTGTGTTTGCCTTCCATTGACCAATCGGAAAACAAAACCAAGGTAATTTGCAATATGAGTAAGTGAAGAAAGTGTACTGGAATGAACAGATGTATTTTACCTCGTAAGGGAACTCTGTGTCTACTGAAATAGAGGGTAGCCATGTGGTCCAAACAAAGTAAAATGCAAGTGCTAAAACAGGCAATTCCTTTATGGACCGCTAAAAAAAGCATCATACAATACATGAGCTTTGATGGATAAAAACACCATCAGGTTTGTACCTGATACAGTGAGGTGCTCCTTGTATCATTAAATTTGATCCTTTGATAATAAATTTATTTATTTATTCAATTTATACACCGCCCATCTAGACCGAAGTCTACTCTGGGTAGCTAACAATAAAATATAAAAATAAAAACAATATAATAGAATAGAGGCAACTTAATAATATAAATCAAGATGACAAAAGTAATTAAATGATGACAGGAGGGAAAGCCTGCCTAAAGAGCCAGGTCTTAAGTTTGCTCTTAAGAACACCCAGCAAGGGAGCCAGGCAGATCTCTGCGGGCAGATTGTTCCAAAGGTGGGGGTGGAGGCATTGCTGAGAAAGCCCGGTTTCTTGTAAAGCGTGTGCCTCAAAAAGTCTTCAAATCTTATTGGTTCATGGTTGTAGGCAAGACCATGTTACTTATCCACTGTCTTTCATATGTGATGGAGAGAATAATACTACCCCACATTAATGGTTGCTGTAAAGTTTAATGAAATGATACATGCTATTCAACTTGAGAAGCTCTCTGTGAATACCAAACTTTACTGATTTGCTCTTATTTATGATCACCAGTAATTAATAAATTGTTTCATCATTTTACCCCAATTAATCTTCATCATTGAAGGGAAGGTTAATCAACTTTAATAGGAGTTGTGATACATCTGACTAAACTGCAAATTCATTTTCTTGAATGTTAAAATGTTTTTTAGTTTGAGAAAAATCAATCACTTATGTTGACACCCTTAGATCTCAGTCAGAGTGAGCTTGATTAGGTGCTCTGAATTTAGGTGAATTGAATTTGTGGAATTGATTGGTCAATTCGAATATTTTCTCCTTTGGGATTATCTTTAATTTTTTAAAAAATATGTATTTGAAAATTATATCTAATCTGTCTTTTTCAATAATTTCCCCCCCTTCAATTTCCAGGTTGGGAAGTAGCTGGTGATCATATCCGCAGTGGGGCTGGAGGTACAGATAATGATTATCTGATTGTAAATCTTCATATACCAGGATTTAAGTAAGGAATAGTTTAATTATTGAATTTTTGAAACATACAGTAACTCAGGCCGTGGTCGCACCCAAAATGTTTCTCAGTTACTCCTCATGAATTTCAACCCTTTTTTGGGGGATGAGGGTTCAGATGATGCACAGCCATTACCAGTTCTATTGGCCCACTCCCTGCTATCTCCATTCCAAATCCAGCCCACTGGGAGGCTACTACTATACAGTGTGCCTCGCAAGACAAAAGTAATTTGTTCCGTAACTAGCGCTGTCTTGCGAAATTTTCATCTTGCGAAAAGAGGTTTCCCATAGGAATGCATTGCAATGCATTCCTATGGGAATGTCGCAAGATGAAAATAATTCATTTGTCTTGCGAGGCATCAGTCTTGCGAAAAACATTTGTCTTGTGAAGCATGGCCATAGAAGAAGCCGTCTTGTGAGGCATCACAGTGATCGCAAAAACAATTCGTCTTGCGGGTTTTTCATCCCGCGATGCATTCGTCTTGTGAGTCACCACTGTATTTGTTCCACATTTCACCACACAGTACAACAGCCATTCCATTGAATGTGTACTACTAAATCAATTCATTTCCTTTACATTGGGAATATGGTCCCACCTCCCTCACCTGCTGTTGTCTGACTCTCTTAATTTTTAAAAAGTTAATTTTCAAACAGGGATGTCAGTGCATTGGTATGCTTCTGTCAAATACAACTTGAAATAAGTGAAGAGGGTTTTCTTAGCTTGCCACCCACAGCATGCTTCTGCTAGGTGATGCTACGAAGACAATGTACTTTCAAGGTATTCTTGAAGCATGGGTGATTTACTGACACACTGACATAGCCACACAATTTTTTTTCCAAAAAAGGAACGGAACAGATAAATACACAAAAAAGGAAGGGGATATTCCTGCTTGAGGGGTGTAGATGAATGCACCACATCTGATTTATCCTAGAAAAAGCAGAATGGTTTAAAAATGTATGAGCCACAGTCACAAGATATATGCCATGTGACCACAAAGCGTGACTATACAGGAAGCAAAAGATGCGAGGAAGAAGAGGGGGGACATTCCTCTAGTGTGACCACGGCCTCATTTCTTTTCTCTCTTGCACAATATATCTTGTCTCGTACTGGTTTATGCTTAGACTACATGGGAAGAAAATTATAAACCGGAACTGAAATGTAGAAATCCATATGAAACACAACGGTGTGGTAAGGAATACTGGAGGCTGTTTCTGGTAGTTGCATTAGTGTGCACTCCGGTGTCTTCCTCAAATGATAATATTTAGATTGGACTCAGGATGTAACCCAATGGGCAGCTTTTTAAGTTGACATTTGAAGTAAAGGAACCTACTTTGCATCCTTAGATACCCAGTATGGTGCATTGGACAGAATGATGGATAGAGTGAACCCACAGGAGATGTGGGTTCAAATCCCCACTTGGCCATGGAAACTTACTGGCAGGGGACAGTGTGGTCAAAGCCCTCCTTAAATATGCTACTACCTTGAAAGCGCTATTAGAGTCTCTATAAATTGGGTGGCACATGGCCCAGCACTCTTAGCTGTGTAACCACATAGAATTTTATGTAGTATCTTAGTCTGGACAATGAGAGGGAATCTTCAGTTGATGGCCAGAAGACAGAGAAAAAAAAAGAAACTTATAAATTTTTTATTCTAATATTGGGTTTACGGAAAAGCTGAATTTTGGCTAAGCACAGGAAGAATGAAGGTGGACAATGAAAAAGGAAGTAATCAGGCTGTGGGTTGTCAGTGGAGAGAAGGGAGAGGAGGGGTCTGGCCTCCTGTGGGAGGGAGTTCCAAAATCTGGCAGCAGCAACAGAGAAGGCCCTCCTGTTTCTCCTTTGGACACACCTACTGGGATCTCTGCAAAATTGCTAGAGTAGGTTGACCTTCATTTAGTTCGTTTAGACATTTTTTTCTGCCCTTAAATAAGATTCAAGTTGTCTTGATCCAGCACAGATATTGTATGCCTTCATTTTAAAAGATTTTTGATTGTAGCAACATGTTTTGTAAACCTAATGCATGAGGGTTGAACATAAAGAGTTTAGTAAACTGGAGAAAAAAAAATAGAATGTCTGAGGCTGAAAACTGTTAAATCCCACTTCAGGAAATGACTGCAAAGTTTCAGAATAGAATACAATAGGACTGCCTTATCCACAGGATCAGTATCCACTGATTCGCTTATCTACGGTTTGAAAATATTAAAGATATTAAAAGAAGAAGAAAAAAACAGAAAAAATATTTTACATGTATTACCAGACCTGACCACTAGAGGGTGTGAAAGACTATGCTATCAATACCTATTAGTGAGGAATATATAGTTTGGTCTCTGTTGCCCTCTAGTGGCCAGTTCTGGTAATCCATGTGAAAATATTTTTTTCCTGGTTCCCCTCCCTCTCTCTATATAGAGAGAGTTTACTATTACCTGTGGTTTTCAGTATCCATGGGAGGGGGCTTGGAACTAATTCCCAGCAGATATGGAGGTCTTACTGTAGTAATAATATGGGTAACTTGGCAGCTGGTTGCTTCTTTTTTTTATTTTTCCTAAACACATTGGGATCATAAAATGTACTTGGTTGTCAAATGTCTTTTAAAAACAACTTTTATTTATTTAATTCTCTCTCTGTTGAGCAGGCCTCCAACGTCAGTAACAGGGGTAACGGGTTCAGAGCTTGGACGGATCACTTTTGTTTTTGAGACCATTTGCTCAGCAGATTGCGTGCTGTATTTCATGGCGGTAAGCAACACCATGGTCAGAGCTGACAAAACAAACATTGGGTAGTGTGAGTGGCATATAAATAAAATAAATAAAATAAATGTCTATATGTTATTTCTATTCCTTGGTATTCACCTTCCTCAGCTGTATTAGTATGATTATCCTTAGATATAAATATTTTTCAAGTAAAAAGATGTTCCTGATACGAATAATTTATTTGCTTATCTGTGGCTCTTTAGCACATAAGGATGTGCGCTGAGAACAGTGATAGGAAAAGTTACTTTTTTAAAGACTGCAGCTCTCAGAATACCCATAAGAACATAAGAAGAGCCCTGCTGGATCAGGCCAAGGGCCCATCCAGTCCAGCTTTCTGTATCTCACAGTGGCCCCACCAGATGCCTCTGGGAGCACACGAGACAACTAGACACCTGTCTCCTGATACCCCTCCCCTGCATCTGGCATTCTGAGATACCTTCCTTTTACACCTGGAGATTATACATCCACAACCTGCGATGGACTTTTCCTCCAGTAATCTGTGTAACCCCCCTTAAAAGTCATATTTGGTCAGTGTGTCACTTTGTTATTCTGGCTTGGATATCCTCGCAATTGTAGCTCCCCAAAGTAAACTTCCCATCTTTTGGTGGAATGGAGGTCCTATGGCTCAATAGTGGAGTCACAGAACTTGTCTAGGGGCAAACTTCATGTTCCGTTATTTTGCTATTAGCTATTGAAATATAAATGTCCGTACTGTTCTCCCAGGAAGGATGTACTAGGCTTTAATGAAGGTGTATGTTCCAGTCCCAAACATTTTAACAGGGACTTGATGAGAGATTGGTTTTCTGGTTTTCCACATCTTTTCCAAGGAGTGACATCTTACAGACCACTGTAATCACAAAGAATATGTTTGTTTGTCTAGATTATTCTCTGTTGCTGCTGGTGATGGTGTTGGACAGTGGATAAAGGGGAAATTTCCAAAAGTCTCTCTCTCACTCTCTCTCCCTCTCTCTCTCTCTCTGTGTGTGTGTATGTGTGTACGCATGCATGCATGTTTTGGTCAACTAGTCATAGGGCTTTTCTTATCATAGGCTGAGTAAGCAAATCCGGGACTTCTTTGCTCCCTCTTGTTGCAGAGAAGAGGATTGGCATGCTTGCATTGATGAGCAACTACAATTCTTCTTGTTAACATTACATTTTATATTACATATCCTTTGTTTATAGGACATCAATAAAAAGAACACAAATGTAGTGGAATCCTGGAGTGGAAGGAAGGAGAAACAGTCATACACACACATAATCACCAAAAATGCTTCTTTTACATTCACTTGGGCCTTTCAAAGAACAAGCCAAGGCCAAGATGTAAGTATTTTCAGGGAACAGTACTTTCTTCTTTGTGGTCTCCTGTGATTCATACACATGTGTGGTAGACCATTGGAATCTTCTAGGCCCCGTATGCCCAATGCTTTCTCCTCTCCACTAGCCTACTACACATGCCCCTCTTCTGCACCGTTTTGGTCTGCCACAACAGTAACACCTCAGATTCTAATGTCTGCTTAAAACTTATGCTCTTCCCAGTTTACTTACTTTACTTCTCTTTCCTCCATATTTTTATCATTTAAAATAGAAAACAAGAGCTAGCTTCTTATCCTTTTAGAACCCACCTTTCCTTCCTTCATTTCCTCAGTGGTTTCCTGCTATTTTTTTATGACTACCGCAACCTTTATGAAAAAGTATACCAACTGCTGAGGAAAAAATCCTTCAGGATGATGCACCTTCTAAATGCCTTTGTTGCCTTGGTGAGGGGCATTTAGTAAAAAATTGTGCTATTTGTAAGGGATTTTCAAAAATATTGCTCCACAATCCTGAGTTTGGTTTAAAGTTGCTTTTATGGGAGAAGTCCCTAAAGGCAGTTCATTCCATGTTGACTGATGCTGAACACAGAGATTCTGTTTCGGCTGTTGAGGCCACGGAGACCAATTCTACTTTACCTCACGTTGCCACTCCTACTCAAGACTTACCTCCAGTTACTCCTTCAGCCTCGATATCCACATTCACGGTCAGTTTAGTCTTTCTAAACTGCCTACCCAGTTAGTAAATTCTACAAATGGTTTAATGGGCTTTATGTGCATGTTATTGGATGATTAGTGATAATGTATTCATTCTGCTGCCATATTCACTTCCCGGAAGCTGTTGTGGTTGTCTTGCTTTGCTCTGCTATCCTACAATTAATGATAACTGTTCTGTAAAGTCTGTGCTTTTGGTGAACTGGCCACAATGTGTTAGCCACCCCTTCTGTGTCTTTGCAGAGCAGAAAGCTCATCAATGACGTTGCAAAGATCTACTCAATAACAGTGACCAATGCTGTTGATGGTGTTGCTTCATCTTGCCGGGCCTGTGCCATTGGGTCAGAACAGTCTGGCTCTTCTTGCATCCCCTGCTCAGCTGGCTACTATGTGGAAAAGGAAACCAACCAGTGCAAAGAATGTCCTCTGAATACATACCTGTCCGTTCATCAAGTGTATGGCCAAGAAGCATGTGTCCCTTGTGGCCCCGGCAGTCAAAGTACCGAGGTAAAGAGGGGTTGTGAGTAGTTTTTGTAATTGCAAAGAAACACGCATAAAAATGGTCTGGATCAGATCTACTCCAGCAATGGCAAGCCACATGCCCCAAGAAGCTTATAAACATTGCTGCATAAAAATGGTCTGGATCAGATCTACTGCACCGTGCTTTCTCCAGCAATGGCAAGTCACATGCCCCAAGAAGCTTATAAACATTGCCTGATGGAAAAAGCTATCCTTTGTTATGTGCCTCAGCTAACGTTCTGTCTAGTTTTCCACTAGCACTGGGTAGAGGTGACAACAATGGCTGTGGGTGCATGGCACCCATGCAGTGCTGCATGGCCATATACCCATGCAGCTTAGAGGGAATGTTGGCTTCAGCATCAAGTATACAATTTGCATGCCATTGGCAGCGAGCTTGGGAGTCTTGCTTTTTTGTACTACGGCTCCTAAAAGCCTATAAGCAGCATGGGCACTGGCCACAATGGCTGTGGCACTCTGGGAAATGTGGTGAAGAAAAAGCAAGATTTCAAAGCTCTGGCTGCCAGGACACATGACTATTAATAAACGTATTCTCTGTGAATCTGGCTAGTTCTTTTAAAAGCTGTCTGAAGGTTACTTTACATATTTGGTTGTGTAAATTCAGCCTCTGCCTTATCACCATCTTTATGAAAGGGCTGGCCTGATGCTCTCCAAAGTGCTCAATGGACTGGTCCGAAATTGTCACTTTCCACACAGTACCAAATAAATCAAATGTACAGTATAGAGTGCTATGTCCTACTCCCCACCACCCCCCCATTTGCCCATGCAAATTTGAAATCAAGAACACTTTGGCATATCCTCCAAAATAGGGAGCAGCCACTGTGACATCATAAAGGCATACTTTTTTTAAAAAAATTATCCTGCTATGCCTACACCATTCTTTTATGCATACTTCTGCTCCTGTCCCCTTATAAAAAAGAGTGGTTGTGACAAGAAGGAGCAGACTGTGACTGGATAGTTCCTTCCCCTTTTTTGTGGTAAAAAAATAAATCATAGCATTGAGACCTATCAGTTCTGAGAAAAAATAAAATAAAATGGAGACCACTCCTGGACAGATGCAGGCATGCTATCGCTGCTAAGAGAGGAGGCCTGTACAGGTAACACACCTTATCTGTCGTAGGCACATGGCTTACACCGTTCATATTGATGGCTGCCATTTGTTCCCAAGACATTTTTCCTTGTGGGGTCTGCCTGTCAGATTTCAGTCAACCTGATAGAAGTCACTCTTGGTCATATCTGTGGCTAATTGCAAAAAGAGTGTGAACACTAAATAACCAGTGTTTTCTTTTCCTGCTTTCCCTACACATTTTAAGGTCTTGAGTGGGGGAGAGCAATATTAGTGTGTTGAAGGAAAAATAACAAAGAACCTTGTGCCACCTAAAAGATACTGTTTTATTTGGCATATGCTTTTGTGGATTGCATCCTATTTCATTTATTGCTTTCCAAAGTATTGCTCCTTATTTTTTAAAAAGTGGGAGGAAAACAACAAAATTACCTTTACAGTGGCCCACCAAACAAGAGAGTTGATTTTGGTGAGTGGGTGAATTTAAATTATGAATGCACAGATAGTACTCACTGAGTGATCTTTGCTACTTTTATTGCACAATATTTCACTTTAATTTTCCTTTCCTTTCCAAGGATCATTCTGCTTGCTTTAGTGATTGCATGCTCTCATACATCAAGGACAATCAGAGCCTGAACTACGATTTTACCAGCCTGAGCAGAGTAGGCTCATTAATGAATGGACCAAGCTTTACAGCAAGAGGAACAAAATTCTTCCATTTTTTCAACATCAGCCTGTGCGGGAATCAAGTAAGGGTCTGCTTTTCTAAGGCTGGAAATAAATATCATGTGTGACCGGAGGCTACCACCAGAACTTGGCACTTCCTGTTCCTTGTCATAGTTAGGATCACTTATCCCATGCTGAGAATTCGCCATATTAATTTTGCCCAGTCACACTTCAGGTTGTGAGGAATATGTTAAAAAATAAACACATAATTCATTTTTTAAAAGGGCATTCTTCTTGTTTTCTATTGTCCTGACTTGACAGGAAATCTCAATAAAGAATTTTTAAGTCCCACAAAATTCATTTTTCTTATCCTCTTGTCTAGAATTCCACAAAAGACTCCCCCTCTTGCAGGGAGAGGGCAATTCCTTACTGTCGCAACATGGAGCAAGTGATGATTTTCTTCCTCGGTTGCTGCTGTTGGCTGTTGCCCCGTTAGCCAGGATAGGAACCTACTGTGTGAGAGTATCTCAACACAGGTCAAAGGATCCTGAATGGTATGTGGAAGGTGCAGGAGCCCAATACAGGAATGCTGTTTAGGGCGGGAACTTTTGTAGCAACATGACACTTTTCCATTTGAAGAGGACTTTCTTGTCATGCAGTTTTGGTCCTGTGTTGCTTCTGACTTCTCTACCTTCCATTGTTCCACAGATGAAATCACACCATTTTATAAGTTTCAAGGCAGTTGGCCATACAGCTAGGCAGAAAGAGTGGGAAGTCTTAAATAGCAGATGTTGGACAGCAGTAGCAGTTCCCAGCTGTTTCTCTTGACACCAAGTCAATTCCCCTCTGTTTAAGAATAAAGCTGTGTATACCTTACCCTCAGATCTGGGCCTCTTAACCTTGCCTTCGGCTCAGAAGCTGTAGCGGACACTATAAGTTTGTTTGCAAATTTTTAAGTGTTTTAAATGTATTTATTATAATAATAATAGGTTAATTGTTTCTTGATGTGTAATTTATTTTGTTTTTAATTTTACTTGTTTTAATGTTACAAGCAGCCTATTCTTGGGAGGAGGTGATCTACAAATGATATTAAGGAAAGAATACATAATAAAATATCTCATTACTAATGTTCAGGTAAAATTCACAGTGAAGAAAATGTTCAAAGACACATACAGTTTGGTTATGTTTATGAAATAGAGAGGGGGTGCCATTTTGTCCTTCACCTTAGGGAGCAAAACAGTATAGGTTGGCATCTTACAAGGGGCTGCATAAAATGTTCTCTTTTTCTAGTCATAGTGGCTCATCATTGTTCTTCAGACATTTCCAGTCCATGTATCAAAGAGCTGTACCAAGATTCCTTTTTAAATGCCCCATGCTTTTGTGTCTAGGAAAATGTGAGACTGCTTATTTGCCATTTGCTCATGAGTAAGGATGGACAAGAGGGGACGTGGTGGCGCTGTGGGCTAAACCGCAGAAGCCTCTGTGCTGCAGGGTCAGAAGACCAGCAGTCGTAAGATCGAATCCACGTGGCGGAGTGAGCTCCCGTCACTTTGCCCCAGCTCCTCACCAGCATGCAAAAATGCAAGTAGATAAATAAGTACCACCATGGTGGGAAGGTAAAACAGCATTCCCTAGTCATGCTGGCCACGTGACAATGGAAACTGTCTTCGGACAAGTGCTGGCTCTACGGCTTGAAAACAGGATGAGCACCGCCCCCTAGAGTCGGACATGACTGGACTAAAAATGTCAAGGGAAGCCTTTACCTTTACCTTTTAAGGATGGACAAACACTGGAAGGAGCACTGTGGGAGACGTTAATGGTTTTTCATTGAGTGATCTATTTCCTGGTCACAGGATTTGAAGAGGCAGGGCTTAGAAGAGGATGCCTCTGTCAGACATATCTAGTAAATAATAACAGAATAATAAAGAGTTGCATGTAGACATATTCTTATTGCCCCTTATGTATCCACAAATTATTCCTTTTCATTGCCTTAAGAAGGTTGTTCTTGGATGGATAGCTGGTTTATGTATCTGGTTACGCAACCAGAGGTTGGGAGTTTGACTCTCCACTGTGCCTCCTTGACAGGAACTTGACTCAGTGATCCATAACATCCCTTCCAGCCCTGTAGTTCTAAAATGAAGATGATTACATTTAGTGCTTAACCAAAAGTACTCATAGTTCTTTGCAAATATTGCTACACCTTTTTTTCTCCATGCCACAACTTGAGAAATGATAATCTATTTGTCCTAATCTACTGTCACTCTCACTGTCGACATGATATAGGCAAATCTGCTTGCCTATATATTTGATTAATTTTTAAAACATTCTAATAAGGACATTATCTCATTTTGCAACATGAATCCTGGTTAGCTGGCACAGGAAGCATTGCTTCTACTCTTAATTGTCCTTCGCAGTTTGTCAATGCTCCTTTCTACTTCAATCATGCTACCTGGAGAGTACAGCCCCAGAAAACCCAAACAATCTAAAAAAATCATTCTTAGCTCTATTCCGGTTTCCCATCCTACCTCATGTCATAAGGCTTATTGGCTGGGATAAGTACTCTAGGAAGGAGAATAAAGCAGGTAAGAATAGCACCAATGTGATTTCAGTTCATGGCACCAAACAGGATCTTAAAAAGTAAATATTCACACAAAGGGCAAGAGTAGTATTTCTACTGATCACAATCACTATTTTGAACTTAAAAACCAAACCTGGAGAATATTCCATACAACTCTAGTTAAATTGCATTAGATTTTATTGCTATTCTTGTGAAATGTTGGCTATGTAAAAATTACATGAAGTTTTTCTTACACTTGAGTAATAAGGAGAGTAAGTGATTTAGCATCCATTTATTTGAAGAGTAATGAGGTTTATAATTGGAGTCTAATTACACAGTCTGACATGGCAAACCCGTCATTCTGTCAGTGCCATCCATTAAAGAAATGCATTCTGATTTCCAGACTCCTGCATGAAGTCTATGTGAGGTACTGTATCATTAGCAAAATTGGAAGGCAATTTATTATGTGCTGCAAGAAAGCAGCATGGCTTTATTTTTTAAAAAAATGCCATTTCCCTACATCAATACTGATTAAATATGTGTTAGGGAGGTGACCGTTTGGCACTCTGTAAGGAGTCACACTGTTTCTTTCACAGTAGTGTTGCACAGGTTTTATGGATTGTTTTCTTAATTTATTGCAAATTACCTTTAAGTCGTTGTAGAAAGCCCATGATATCTGGTTTTCAAGATGTTAAGAAATCCCGCCTGAAAGCTATACATTTATTCCTCTTTTTTCATTTAACACTCACAGGGGGAAAAAGTAGCAATCTGTGCAGACAATATTACAGATATCACACTAAAGGATATGGTAGCTGAATCGGAAGATTATTCCAACATTGTAAGGGCTTTTGTCTGCCAGTCTACTATCATTCCTCCTGACAGCAAGGGATTCCGAACTGCTTTGGCACTTCAGTCCAACAGCCTCGCTGATATGTTCCTTGGTAAGCACTTTAATCTTCTGCTTCCTCTGATAAAGAGTGTATGACACCAAAGCTCAGAGAGAGTGTGGGGATGATGAAGATGTTATATGGACTAATCCACTGACTACATTTCACAGCCTTCAGAGTCGCTATTTTGAGAGATGGGGGATTTACTGGGAGCTGCTAAAGGCCATGTTGTGACCCTGCTTCTAGCATGGTATCTGTTAAACATAAATAGTATAACTTTGCCTGGATGATAGCTGTAGCGTGGAGAGTAAGAGAGCTGGCTTCTCTAGATGTTTTCTACCAAAACCCCTATACCTTAAGATGCAAGAACGAAAGACTATCCTAATAATGTCCAGCAGGACTGTTTATAACCTTGGACTCTGTCAAAAGGCCAATTGAGAATTAGTTCTTTACAAGATTACCAGAACTCTCTCCCTTCATCTAAATAGCTTTTTTAAACTCTGCCTTATAGTAGGGCCAGCCCTATTTTCTGTAGACTAGCTCAGTCACAATAATTACCAGAATCCACATCCAGAAGCTTTGTAATTTTTTATTTACTGGTAGGCAATGTGTTATTAGGATCAAATACAATTCCACAATAGTACGCAAGCTTTCAAGTTCTCCAGAACTCTTCATCAGGCCATGTGGTATAAAAACTTTCTGTCCTTCAAGCCAGCAAAATATTATAATAAGTCAGAGCAGGATAGGACTCTTGGCCATTGTATCTTGAGAAGAAGGCAAAACTCCCATTGCTCTGGAAGTATGCTAGCTTCTCTATGTTAGTGAGAATAAACTTCAGAAATGTGAATACTCTGGAAGTCCACATAGGAGACACTAGAAGCAGGCTCTCATCATGTAAATAATTTGTTTTATTTATTTATTATTTTATTTTATTAGATTTATACCCTGCCCATCTAGACAGATAGTCTACTCCGGGTGGCATAACAAAGTTTAAAAACAATAAAACCAACAACATACGAAAATCTAAGATGTAAAAATATAGATATTAGAATGCAGCAGGAGGGAAAAGCCTGCCTAAATAGCCATGCCTTTAGTTTAGTTCTAAAGACACCCAGAGAGGGAGCCAGGCAGATCTCTAGGGGCAAGTTGTTCCAGAGGTGAAGGGCCACTGCCGAGAAGGCCCGGTTCCTTGTTCTTTCTTTTTGGGCCTCCCTCAGCATTAGGCCCCTCAATCGCCCAGCCTGGCTAGAATGAGTGTCTCTGGTAAAATTGGGTGGGAGAAGGCACTCTGCCAGATATTGAGCGCAAATAAAAACAAACACCTCCGACTTTTTCCAAAGATTCAAGAATTATGGTTCTTGGATAAGGAAGAAAATATATCTAAGGAAGACAATTGTAAAGTACTTGGTAGCAAGGGCTACAAATGTCTGTCCAATGGACCTGAGTTATGCTGCAGTGGCCATTTCTGAGAACTCAAATCACAGATAGCACCACTGATATGCCATTAAAATGTGCAAGATGATTGGATGACTATCTCAGGCAATACTACCCCATGTCATGACAGCATGTGCAAGAAAACACAAGCCATTTCTTGCTCTCTCCATCTCCAGAACATACCTGTGCAGTTTTGGTACTTTGAAAAAGTGCATTGGTGCATTTTAAATTATGAACATGTGCTAGCAAAAATTAATCAGCTTCTTTTAGGTTCCTACTGGAGTGTTCCGCATTTTGTTCTGTCAGGTGGTCACATGTTACTAAAAACCTCAGACAGCCATTCCAGAATGTGTTAAAAATCTATGTGATTTTCAGACAGCTTTTATTTTGTTGGCTGTTTACGATCAGACATTTTGATTCTCTTAAGGCCTTAAGGTTCTCTTAGGCCTTAAAACAGTTTGACTGAAACCAGCTCCTAAAATATTTTTGTGTAACAAACAAATGCAATCGTAGCCTGTAGTCCTATAAGGCTTACCTGATCTCACTTCTATATAGACCAGTCGTAGCACTGCGCTATTAATTATGACATCTTGTAGAAGGCTGTTCAGCATTTAATATTTACTTAATTAACCATTTATTTTTATTGAATAATTGATAATATTCAAATATATTTCCATCTCAACTCTTGCTTTCAAAGATCTAGAAGGTTGAAAATTTACTGTTGAAAAGCCTTCATTTAGTATTTTCTTCCATAAATTTTTTTAGAATCAAATGGTTTCAAAAATCAACCCCACCTATCTTATTTACATTACTTAATATTTGTGCCTGCATATTCATGCATTAAAATTTCAGCAGATTCACTGCTGACTACAAAAGGGGACATGCTTTTCCTTTCATGAGACTTGCACTGGAGCCTCTTTGCCTACTCTGAATATCACTGCTCTTGATGCATGCATTGAATTCTTGTGCGTAAGGGTTCATTCCCTTTCAGTTCGATGAGTGTGTTCATCTTTCCTTTAACTTCAAGTGCCTATTTAGAAAAAGAGCAGAGAAAATAGACTGATTTGTGAATGAAAAAATTAAAACATTCTGTTGTAGAAATAACGGTTTATGATGTTAGACAAATTCTGTGGCTACAAATCAGTCATCACTCTCTGACTGCATCTTGTGGATTGAATATTGATTAAGGATATATGAGCATTTGCACACGCAAATATCTCTGCCCTTACCTGTTTAAGGATGTAATTTTATTCTTTCTCTTTCTTTTTTGCAGGAGTTACTATTGAAACATCACTGGGAAATATTAATGTTAAGCCAGAATTGTTTGAGCACTCCGAGAACAAAATACCCGATGTACATTTCTATTACAAGTAGGTAGAGAAAATTAGACTCCCTCTGCCCCCTCACAACATCCCCTGAGAACTCATATAGCATGATAGACAGGAGACAAACAGCTGTAATTTATTATATGTAATCTGTTCAGAAGTCCCATTGTGTTCACAGACATTTATTTATTTGATATCTACCATGTCTTTCCATTAGAAAAATTGCACCTGAATGTACAATGAATGTACAATGAGTTATGAACCAGGAAATTCCTGGGTGGCAGTTTGCCTCAATTGCAAACTCACTCAATGGCCTTGGACAAGCCATTCTTTCTCAACCACAGGCACTTATCCTGGAGATCACACTACAAGTTTATCCTGCAGAGGTGAAGTAGATATATTGATGTACTACGTTTGAACTCTCAAAGGCAGTGCAAGAACAGTGATGATGACCACTGTAGGTTTCCCTCTCTCAGTCAGACACAGATGATCTTCCCAATTAGGCTGACTCATTCTTCTTCATACAATTGTGACCTTTTGAAATAAAATATTATATGAGTGAATGTGAGACATGGTAGGCCCTGGATGAAAATTAGCCTGGGGGCACATTCCACTCATCAGCCTTCCTCTGCATGCTAACTTCGTTTTGTTCTATCAGTTTATTATCTATATCTATAGCCTCCCTTCTTATCAAATCCTTACATTAGTGAATAATAGGAAATGTAAAAGAAACAGTGAGAGCTGTTTATGAAACTTACTATTTGCTGTATTTGTAGCAGAGAGAATTAAGAATACTTTGGAAAATGGAAAAGAGGTAAAGGCATTAGAAGGCCTGATTTATCACTGAGGAGCAGAAATGTCCATTTTGCAAGACAGAGGTGCCACTCTTGACTATAAAAAGTATGATGATAGCAATAGAAGATGATATAATTAATGCTTTCAGTTTTTTAATGCAGGTCTTCAGGAGCTACAGCCACCTGTGAAAATGGCCGTGCTTCTGTTGTGACAATGAGATGTAACCCTGCAAAACCTGGCGAGGGAGAAATTTCAGTTCCCAGGTATCTGTTATGATTTGTGATTTAATCAGAAGTGTGTGATTATGTCTTCCTCTGAGAAATTTTGCAAATCTCATCAACATTCTTTTGGCTTTATCATTTTCCCCCCCAAATTCTCCAATATATCCAAGAACTGCCGCATTTGTTTTCAATTTAAAACCAAGGTGGACCTAGAGACAGGCTATGGTTGCATGAAACCGACTTAACCCTTGTCAATAAATTTCAATACTGGTGAATGGAAATAGTTTTGGTTTCCTGTGGAGACTTTTTTCCCCTCCTGATGAAGAACCACTCAATTTAGTTTGAATTTCACTTGAGCTGAAGTTTTGACTGCAGTTTAAGGTTGAGCCATATCCTTCACCCCTGTAGAATTCTAAAATTAAAAGGCGACTTCTTCATATACAGTGGTTTGAGCCTTTCTACCTGTAAACAAAGCTAAAGGGCAAACAATGATAGATAGTAGACAACAGCAATCTCTCAGTGAATTGTGTAATACTTTTAAGGAGCATTTGTTGTTTGGCCTACCAGCTGCTAGCCTGGAATAAACAAGATGAAGATGAAAGGAACGGCACACATAATGTGATAAGAGTCTTCTCAAAGATGGTGCTCTGCTCCATATATTGTACTCTAGCACATGATGATTAGGTTCCCTAAAAAAACCCTTTAAACCTCTTGGAAGAGAAGTTGCTTGATGATTCCTGAGCACTGTCATTTGACACAGCTAGTTTTATTACAATAATTGAAGGGAAGGCTAGCTAGCTTGCAGCTAAAATGGATGATTCTGTATTAGATGTTTGAAGAGGTCCATGCATACAAACACCATTGCTTTAATTTCAGCCAAAACTTGCTTAACTGTGACCACAACAAAGAGCAATGACTTGCAAGTATGAAGCTTTCAAACACTTATTAGACACCACCAAATATCCTTATCTACGTATATGCCACCATCCCCAGTGCTGTTCTTTGATTAGACACCACCAAATATCCTTATCTATATGCCACCATCCCCAGTGCTGTTCTTTCTGATGGAAACAGTCCACACATTTAACTGCAAATCATCCAGGCATATAATAACTTATGACAGATTCAGCTTTTCAGGGTTATGTTTCCCTGCCATTCCTCTGTGATGAAATCTTCTGGTTTGTTGATCTGAATGTGGTTAGATCTGTATCTGGCAGTGACCTGGCTACAGTTATTTTGTTTTGCCTTATCAGTGGAATATCATAGTGATTGTTCCTTTTCTTCTAGCTCTTGCTCTGCAGGTACCTGTGATGGGTGTACGTTCTACTTCTTGTGGGAAAGTGCAGAAGCTTGTCCCATGTGTACAGAACAGGACTATCATGAAATAGAGGGTGCTTGTAAAAAAGGTCACCAGGTAAGAAACTGGGTGCATATTATTGCTGTACGCTGAAAAAGATGGTGCACCAGACTGGAAATTTGAGGCTAGGAGTTGGTGTGAAGATGAGGAGGGGGAAGGCTGCACTCAGCCAAGCCCAAGGGCTACCTAGCAAACAGCAGTCTTGCAATCCATTCTCACAGTGACAAATCAAATGCTTCTGAGATGGCCACAAGTGGGACACAAGGGATGTCCCACCCTCTTGCAGAATAGCCCATATTCCAAACATCTCACTTGCAAACTTTAGGTAGGCAAGTTGTATCATTTTAGAGAGCAGCAGCCATCCTCTTACCTCTTATCAGCTGAAGCACAAGGTGCTATAGAGCAGTGGTTCTTAAACTGGGGTCACCAGATATCCTTGGATTGCATTTCCCAGAAGCCTTCACCAGTTGCTGTGCTGGTCAGGATTTCTAGGGGTTGCGGTCCAAGAATATCTGGAGGCCCAAGTTTGAGAACCACTGCCATAAAGAATAGCAGTACACCCAGCCCTTGAATAAAACTTTGAACTCATTTGAATGAGGAACATGGAGGAAAGGGGAAAATATAGTACAGCAGAGAGGGGCAGGAGGAAATCTGTAGTCTAATCATTCACCAGTGCCCACCATATGCTGTGAGTCTTTTGAGGATAAAGTTGGGTGCTGGTGGTGCTCTCAGCTGCCCTTAATTAAGAGATCAGGCCAGGATGTGGGTTCATAGAAAAAGGTGACAGGCATCTGCTTTTCTTTTAGAATAATAAAAGAGCACGTGTGTCTGTCTACCTCTTAGGAAACCTTATATGTATGGAATGAACCAAAACTGTGTATAAAAGGGGTCTCCTTGCCTGAGAAAAAGACTGTCATCTGTGAAACCATGGATTTTTGGCTAAAAGTTGGAGCGGGTGTTGGCGCTTTCACAGGAGTCTTGCTAATTGCATTGACCTGCTACTTCTGGAAGAAGAATCAGAAGTAAGTGCTGCCTACCACTGAGGGTTACGTACAATGCCTAATTGACAAGGTGGCTTTGTCAGGAATATACTGGGTACTACCTTTTCTGACCCATGTGTTACTGAGCATCTTTGGATTGTCTCACATAATCACAGAAAAGCAAATACTGTCTAGATCAGTCTTCTCAAAGATAGTGCTCTCTAAATATCGGCCTATGATGTCTGTCATCTTCAGCCAACATTAGTGGCGTGCATTATTGTTGAGTCAATGGGCCATCAAGTCACTTAATTGGTACACATTATAAATTGGCTTCCAGTAATCTTCATTGAACTAGAGAAATACAACCAGTGCCCTTGTAGGATAATATCCCATAATATAGCTTTCAGTGTTAAGGTGAGAAGCATTTTGAAGGATGATGGCAGAAGTACACTCTGTCCCTATAAAGTTACACTCATAAGTAATTGTCCTAGTGGGAACGAAACCTTACATTGTAATGTCCATGGCAGAATACTTAATACTCTTTTGCATGATAAGCTTAAAGGATGAATCACAGAGGGAGCCATTTCCTACTGATCTGAACATTATGATCCCTGCATGTCAAATACCTTTGATCAAAGGCAGCTAGCCTGGGAAAGATTCCTGCATGAAACTTTAGCAGGCTGCTGCCAGTTGAACCAGTGACCAATCATAGATTACATAGATTGGGTCAGGGCCAGTTTGGAAATATGTTGGATATTTTTGGGTTGAGGGATGGTAATTCCCAGAAATTCCTGTTCAGCCTGGCTGGTTCAGGGAGTTGTAGAGAAAAAAAAATAACTTTTAAAGCTCTGGTCAAGGGGTTAGACCTAAGGGACCAAGCTGAAATGCCCCAGATTGAGAAAGACCATGCTTGCTGAAGCAGAATCCCAGTTGAAGCAAAGTTCATAGCTCTTCCTGTCAGTGACAAAGAGGGTTTGGTTCTGAATCTGAGCATACTTCATTGTCCAGAAAGATCCTCTGAAGTACAGTTCTGGTGGCTGACTTCAGAACTTGGGCTTCCTAGCTCAAGCCCTGGCAGATCCTGATATGTGATACTTGTGCTGGCTTCTTCTAGAGTATAATAACATGATGACGTTTGAAGCATAACAACTTTTGGTTGTTAACTTTTATTTTTACATCTGTAGTAACATCTATGTAAAGGCTATCATAAGGTATTTATCGCAGTGTTTGATGTGCGAGATATAGTGGCTGAAATTTGGTTCTGCAGTTACACAAACGATGTAACTTTTAGATGTGATTTGCATAATTTAAGATATCTCAGGAGGCATTACCTGTTGCATGCCAAGTTGCACTGTGGATATTCCTTAACTTATGGCAGTTTGCTTCCAAATGTTACATCAGTTACATAACTGGGCAACAGGATTTGAGCCAGCTTTTTTTAAGAAGAGGGAAATCAAGCCCCTCAATGCCTGTATTTATTCCTTCAGATTGGAGTATAAATATTCTAAACTGGTGATGACAGCAAATTCAAAAGAGTGTGATCTTCCAGCTGCTGACAGCTGTGCAATCATGGAAGGGGAAGATAACGAAGAGGAAATCGTATATTCAAATAAACAGTCATTACTAGGAAAACTCAAATCACTAGCAACAAAGGTGAGCATTGCTGTTAGCATGACTGCCGCTATCTCTGTGTTACAGCCTGGTATATAATTCTTTTAATCTTTTATAATCTGATTTCCTTCTCCAAGGCACACAGTTAGGTTGCTGCCAGTGTTTACATTTAATATAACATGGATATCAAATTATTTTCTTGTTTAAAATTCTTGTATCTCAACATCTGCAGTAGAGGCAACATACATCTACAGTGACCTCTCAACAATTTAACATTGGAGAATAACAAGCACTGAACCATATATTTTTTTTAGAAATCCCGCCCCAAGACATTCTGAGATTTTCTTTTTTTATCATAAAAAAGGCCACTCTGCAGATTTTTCCTCTCCAAAATTTCTCTACTGTTATTGGTGGCTTCTCTCCCCCTCCACCCAACAATATTGTTGAATTGTACCAAGTATTGTGAAAGAAGCCAAATGGCTAGGCTATCAAACCAGTTTCCAACCTAGTCTCAGTGCAGAACCCAAAATTCTTCTAGGTAAAAAAAGAACAAACCTTTTCTAATATGGAGCTCCCGTTCTGATACAACTATTGGAGAAATTCTCCTTCCTCTGGAGAAATATGGATAAATTTCTGCCTGAATGTCTTCTCCCATAAATAGGAAGGAGAATGTTGAAAGTCAATGTGTTTACAACTATGGTATGAGGAGTAACAGGTGGTCTGTGCAGCATTCAGCTCACACCAATAAACAGAAACACAGTCCTAACTCATGGTGAGCCCCTTTATATATTTGGTCTGGCCAACTGTGTCAATCACTTGACTTGGCCATGCATTTATAATTTGGCAGTCATTTGTACATGATTTAAGATTAAACTTGTACAACGTTAAATTATATAAGAGAAGAATAGAGGCAGAAAACCAAAGCATCAGTACCATGGACAGCAGTTCAGAATAGATATGACATATATCTCATTATTTTAATCTGAGTGGATTAAATATAATTGCCAAAGCAGAACTTATTGAAACTTATTTTTGACATGGGCCCAAGTGGATAAACTGGGAGGACTTGCAGCCTTGTTGGAGCTTAGTGGGCACAATTCAGATTCCTTGTCTGAGAGTTCAGTATATGACCCCATATAGTTGCCAGATATATCTGTACTCTGGATTGAGTGGGTTTATTAAGACCTACCTCTTTGGATGGAAATGTGTCCTGGATAAATCAAGATGTGGGAAGCCAGGATTATTCTGCACCATGGTTTTGCCTTGACAGTATAACTGGTTGGTCTGCCTGGCTGGCATTACCTTCGTGGACAAAGTCACCATGCTTTGAGGGAGAGCCTTTAACACTTCCACTTTCTGTCACTATTTTCTACTCAGGTTTGCAGATGAGAATTTCCTTTCATGTTTAGGTTTTATATGTGAGCAAGATTTCTGGAAAACCAAGGTTCTTCATCATCTGTTGAGCCTACAGATGAACAGAACCCTCTCTCCTCTGTAGATGCACTACGTTCCTTGAATATGAAAGTGATGATGGAGAGGGGAGGGTGAGTGCTCATATTGGAGTGTGATAAGTTTATCCCTGCAGATAGCAATGGAATAGGGCTTCTGTCTATATCTCTTCATAACTGTTGTCCTTTGCAATGCAGGAAAAAGAAGACCGCTTTGAATCTGTTCAGCTGAAATCCTCAAGGTCTCAAAATATATGAAGACTTAACTCTGCCTTTGGACTGGCAAAACTGATTTCTATTTTTAGGGGACCACGTTTCCAACATGATCTGGCACTTATCTGAGCAGCGGTCTCTTGCAAGAAATGTTGAGCAAGCTAAGATGGGAGAGAAAGCAGCAGAGAACAACAGAGAAAGTTGCCTTATGAGACTGAGTAACTTGCCAAAAGAGGGAAGTAAGCAGTTTGGGTTCTAAGCAGGGAGTGGAAGCTCAACTCAGGGAGAGAGGGAGCATGGGCAGAGATGGTCCAGGACATGTTGGTGTCTCAGATGGAAAATGTGAAGAGCCCCTCCCAGAGTAGTTACAAATATAGTGGGAAACAAAATAGTTTGACATTTTGTGCCCTCTAACGCCCTCTGCCCCATTGTTGGCTATGTGAGGTGAGTTGCTTCACTCAATAAAGAGGTCTTGCCTAATCTGAAGTTTACACTTACCTGTGCATTGTTTTGGCATGCCAGATGCTTTATTATCTGTGCCCCTTTATTTGTGGGTTCTGGAAAAACCATAGCTGATTTGTTTCCCCATTCTTGGAAAGGAAAGCACTTTGTCATATAGATCTGTGATGTTTTGCATGAAGTTAGGAATCCAGTTTCATCTGCAAATCTCAGAGGCAAAACTGTCTTATCAGAGAAACACTGACCATGTTGTCCAAAGACTAAGAATGTAATCTTACATGTGTTTTCTTATAAGGAGGTTCCACTGTATTTAGTTGTGCTGGCTCTTAGTAAGAGTGTTTGGAATGGCAGTCTAGCTTGCTGTGGTCTACTCAGAGTTTATTAAAGATCCAATTTTTGGAACTACAGATCCCAGGGTTCTCTAGTCAGTATGGTTACTGGCCACAATCCCTGGGAGATCTTGGCATTTATCGTAAAACAAACAAACAAATAAAAAAAATCTTTTTAAAGTTCTGGTCTCACTGCAATAATCAGTTTTGCCCAGTTGATACATGGAATTAGTGCTGACCATCTGTTTTAGGGAGCAGTCACTTTAGAGGCAAGTTGCCCTGGGAAGCTCTTTTGTATGAATCAGCTCTTCTGCAGGTTATATGACATTTCTTTTAGTTGCACCACAACAAACCCTAGCCCTAAGGATTTGCAACAAAATGGCAAAAATTGCTGTAACTGCATATGGGCTTGCTAAAAGGAATGGGCCTTAATCTTGCCTCATTTCAAACGGTGACCACCCAACAATTCATAAGAAATAAATAGTACCTAGTGAAGTCTAATATTCTAATGCTGAATAAGGGTGAAATGGGGAAAGAGAAAATTTTAGAATCCTGAAGAGGCAAACGATTTCCCATGGTATATTTCTACATGACAAATGGTTCTGCAAATTGTTGTTGGACCAAGAAGGGAAAAATCAATAGAAATATATTTGGGCCTCTGAGAGACTCTGGTATGCTTATAATTTCAAAATTACCCTTTTATGCATCCAGAATCACAAGTGGCCAGTAACTTACTTTTGTAGATATTTGATCACTCTCGTAAACAGGTGACCTTTCAAGTTCTGTAGGACTCTTCAGGTTGTGCAATACAAAATTGGGGCAGAGAGCAAGGAGAAAGGAAAAAGTCCAAAAATCATTCAGCCAGGACCTGTACTTATAGCTCCAAACTTAGAATACAAACTTAAAAAATCAGTTTGAGGTAGGGATGTGAGTTTCCTAGTTTCTCAACTTTTACACAAGAAAACCCCCAGGCACTTTGAGATTGTATAGTCCATAAACCCATGGGCTGCAGACCCCATGAAAGCTTTTTTCAGTCCCAGAATCATGTGTTTGCTGTGTGAGTAGCCACAGAATCAGGACTGCTTACATTGGAGTGAGGAAACATGAGTAGACCAGATAGGGTTGGGGGCAGTATATTGCTTAACCCCAAAGCAAAGAGTGAGGCATAGCAACATCATCGCTCTTTTAATTTCCAGAATTTCCGAAGTGAAATAAGTGCTATTGGCAACAAATAAATGTTAGAAAAAACAGTGAAAGGAATGCTATTGATGAGAAATTATGTTTTGTAAACTTTTGTATAAGCTGTGAAAAAAATCATGCATTGGGAAGGTTTTTTTCTTAAAAATCCCACATACATTTAAAATGTAAGAGTACAGTCTTTGTTATAAAGCACTGAGACATATGCAATGGAAATGGTGACAATGTTAAATCAAAATATTCAATGAGTGTAATTTTACATAGGTTACTTGACCCATAACTCACCTTCTAAATAATACAAAAGCTGAAATGTTCTGTTTTCTGGTTATCCTATACTGTACTCCTAACATAGGAGACAAACCATTCATTTCTTAGTTTTACTTGTTTTAGCAGGGTAGCTGTTTTGGTTTATCAGTTTAGGTTGCAAAAATATGGCTCTTTTTCTGAGTTGTCTTATGGGTAATTCAGAAAGGGCATGCAATATTGCTTATTATTGAAACAAATACATAACAGCACACTTCCCTACAAATGGATGTTTAACAAAGCATCTTATGCATGTTTATTCAGAAGAAAATATTTTAGTAGGGTTTGCTTCCCGGTGTCTAGGCATATGTTTGCATCTGTAAGTCTTCTTTCCTAAAGTTTGATGATCTCTTATAATCTTTTGTATATTAGAAATGCTATTTTTATTTGGGGGCTTGCTTTTCTTCACTTGATATACATTCTGTTACAGATCAGTTCTTTTAGTCACCATTACAATTATTTCTAGGTAGAATGCCCAAAGGGGTAATATTGGCATGGGAAAGAATACAAATTGGTTTTAAATGGCGATTTCCATGGTTCTGTCATCTGAAAACATTATGAATGGAATCGTGAAAATCACTGCTGGTTCAATGTAACTGTATCTGTCAGCCTGAGAGCCAAATTCCCAATGTAGAAAAAGTTTTGGGGGCACATTCAATCAGTGGATCTCAGGCAAAGGCAGTGTAAATTGGGATAGTCTATAGGACCATATCTGGCCCACTGGCCAGATGCCACTGCTGCTTTAGATAAGCCTGCCCCAACTTGAGGCCCTCCAGATGGTGCTGGCCACAGTTGTCTGAATAATGGCTAATGTCTGTTCTTGCTGGATATAATGGGAATTGTATCTAACAAGCCTCTAGAGAGATCCAGATAGGGGAAGGCTGATCTGGATGAACTAGGCAGAACCTAGAGGACTGAAATGGACAGCTTGCAAGCAGATCTCAAATCCTGCTGCTCCGCTCTGAATCCTCCCTACAGCATGCAAGCCAGTCCTTGAGGTTTCTTTGCAAGTGGATCCCAAGCAAAGGCATTAATTTAAAATGATATAAGTCTTCATTCCGGAGACATGGATCTTAAATGTACAGCATTCCTCATAAGAAATTATGTATGTTTTCCCCTCCTGGAAATTATGGAATGCTGGTGTTCTTTGTCAGCATCTTCAAGAGACACAGAAAAAAGCCTCTTTCTTGGAGCGGTGTGTGCATTCCTCCTTTGCTGCTACAACTCGAAACCATAGCGGTCTATGAAAATGTTTGGGAAACAGCTGACAAAGTTCTACATACAGTGTTAGCTGCCAATTTGCTATTATTTCCCTCTTACATCACTGTGACTGAGCTATTGCAGCAAGGTAGTTTCTTCCCTCCGCTACTGAATTGGTCTCCCTGCTATGACCCAGTGCCTTAAATATGAATGAGTTGTCTTTTGTTCATACCTTTGACTTTAAAAAAGTCAGCAGTTCATCTTGATGCCCATGTGGTTTGCTATATTGTAAGACCTTTCCAGTGGTATACTTGTCATGTATTAAGCCCTTGTGGTAATAATTACATTTTATAGTGTGCTCCATTTACTATACTCAAAGCAGATAAAGTGATGGAGCCATCTGCAGAAGCTGCCAGACCAATGAAGACACTACCACCCTAATAGTGCCACTTTTCCTTCAGTGAGTCTTCCATTTCCACACACCCCTTCCTGGTGGCTAACTGTGTCTACAGCAGTGGTTCCCAACCTTGGGTTCCCATATGTTTTTGGACTACAAATCCCAGAACTCCTGTCCAGCACAGCTATTGGTGAAGGCTACAGTTGAGCGATGCTTCCCTATGACCGGCAGCCATTTTCGTGCCCTCCCCTCGCTTAGCGAGGGCGCGAAAACGCTGTGCGCGGCCATTTGGGGACTTCCGGCAGCCATTTTGGAGCCACCGAACAGCTGATCTGCAGGTCGCAAAGCGAAGGTCGGTAAGCGAAATGCTTACCGACCTTCGCTATGCATTTTTCGGCCATAGAGGCCATTGCTTTGCGGTCGCATTAGCGATCGCAAAAACGTCCTCGCTATGCGGATTTGTCTTTCTACGGTGCGCTCGCTAAGCGAGGCACCACTGTAGTGCCACTTTTCCTTCTATGAGTCTTCCATTTCCACACACCCCTTCCTGGTGGCTAACTGTGTCTACAGCAGTGGTTCCCAACCTTGAGTTCCCAGATGTTTTTGGACTACAAATCCCAGAAATCCTGTCCAGCACAGCTATTGGTGAAGGCTTCTGGGAATTTCAGTCCAAGAACATACGGGGACCCAAAGTTGGGAACTACTGGTCTACAGAGACCCCTCCCCAAAATTCCTTAGCCAGCTCATAATATGTTACATCAAAGATCATTGTTCTGCATTGTAATTCTGTTCTGTCCTTGTGCACAGGTGTTCCTCCAAACCTGGAGGATGATTTTTGGGGGTGATAGCTCTCATAATCATCTAGCCAGCTTGGCCACTGATTGAACATGGCTCACACGTGCCTAAGAAACACACTAAACAAATGTTGTTCTTGTTGATGACAATTATAATTGATGATGAGCCACTTTTCCTTCTATGAGTCTTCCATTTCCACACACCCCTTCCTGGTGGCTAACTGTGTCTACAGCAGTGGTTCCCAACCTTGGGTTCCCATATGTTTTTGGACTACAAATCCCAGAACTCCTGTCCAGCACAGCTATTGGTGAAGGCTTCTGCCTTTTGGAGGATCTTCGCTGCATAATCAGGTATTTCCCCCATTGGAATGCATTGACCAGTTTTCAATGCATTTCAATGGGTGTTTTTGCTTGACGATGATTTCGCTTAACAGCGATTTTGCTGAAATGCATTATCGTCATCAAGTGGGGCTCCACTGTAATTTCACCTCAATTAAATGTTAATACTGAAAATACTAAACAGTTCATGCAGCTTAATTTATTAGGTAAAATAAATGTGTTAGAATTTAGATACCACAAATTTAGTAAAAGAGCTGTGAATTGATACCCAGGTTTATCCCCCAATCACAGTATAAATCTGTGGTATGAGCCATGTGGCTGAGTGACATTATCATGGTCACCACGTATTCCCAAGTTGGCTGATATGGCACTGTGTAGAACAAGCAGATGGTCATTCCTTCTCCTCCTGCAGGTGTCCAGGGACCAGGTCACAGAGGCACAGCTGTACTCCTGATGTCAGGGTTGGATCTATGACCTCTGATTTCAGCAGCACCCAACTGGCTTCCTGTCCACAACCTATAAATTGTTGCCAAAGATATATCCTCATATTCTGCAAAGGTATGAGTAAGATCCCTAGTTGGATCTGGATGAATCTAGGTTGGAAAAAGAATGCCAAATTTACTATATATCATCTCAAGATTCCTTTCTGAATTAATTACATTCAACTTTCTTATCACAAACATTCAGTGTTCATGACATAACTAAATATTTCACACAAGTAAGTGAAATACCACTTACCACTTTTTTCCAGAATTACAATCCCTCTGTATGATAGGAATTCAGGCAGGGATGGTCTATCTCTAGCTACGTGCCTAAGAAACACACTAAACAAAGTGTTGTTGTTGTTGTTGTTGATGACAATTATAATTGATGATGATGGTCAGCCAAAGTGAAAAGAGGTGCTGTGATGGTCGACAGAAGGCAGGGTGACTTCAGCAGCACAGGCAAGGCTGGAAATAAAGGTTACAAACCAAGACGTTGCCATCGTGCAGCTCAGGTACCGAGACGGCAGGACTTCATTTATTGGTAGCGTGGAGGCCACACACACACACACCCGTGTATTCCCCTGCTTATTAGGAAGGCTCTGGTCCCCCATGGCTCCTGAGCGCCCCCTGTTGCTTTAAGATTGCTTGCCATGGGACCAGAGGTTGGGAGCCGTGAATCCTGCAGACCTTCGGAGCATAAGCGATAACCTGTTGTTTTGTTAGATCAAACTTAGAGTGTGTATACATAAAACTCTGACATAGGAGGAAGGAAATAACCCGGCTTTTGGGTTTAGATAAAATCATTTGGGCAGCCGATGACATGATGAGCCAAAAATAGCACATTCTCAGAATTGGCTATAACTTCTCACACCCTGAGAGCAATTTCTCCAAAAGTTTTGTCTAAAGTTCTTCCAAACTTCCTTTTGATTGTGCAGGAACCTTTCTTGTATACATATGTGTAGCCATATTGGTTATTAAATTGCTGCTATTCTTTCAGTTTATTTGGGGGGGGGCGCTCTTTATTTTAACGAATAAATGTCTATGTTTATTAAACTGATTTACCTTAAACAGCATCATTTTATCTATCAGTTCTCCTTAGTAATACATACTCTCACCTTTGGAGAAGCTAAACATCATATCTATATTATAAGTGCAGATCCACTTGCATTTGGCTGATGTTACTTTGTAGAAAGCTTTGCACATGGATACCACAGTATAAATAGTAAGGATAATAATTATGTTTTGGCCATACAGCCTGTTTGGAGGTTTTTATTGTTTAGGCATTACGTTTATATTCCACTTTTCTGTCAAGCCTGGGCAGCTTGGAAAATACCAACATCAAGACAAACCTCAAGTTGGCCGCTAGAGATGCCTGTGTACCTGTACAAACATAATTTAATTGCACAGTTGTATGTTTTTCTTGGCCTTCGAATGTGGGGCAATACAGCTGAATGTCTTAAAATAAAACAGATGGTATAACAGAAACAGTAGCGGAGCTGCACCAAAATTTAAACCAGTTTCAAGTGGCTTATGAACCAAGGCTATCTCAAAATGGGGGCTAGGACTGATAGGTAAAACAGCCTACCATTCTCAGAGATTCCAGGGTTAAAACCTAAGATTTGGCCTTAAATTCTGTGCTTTTTGAGTTCATGTAAGATCCTAACTGCTTTGGGGTAACAGAGGGACTGTGGTGGCTTCTCAGATATACTGAACTTAGGCTGTATAAGGCTGAATAAACAACATAAAGCATGGGTTTGCCACATTCTGATAGCCTATCTGATGGAGCATCAGACAACTGATTACCATTAACAGCCCAACATCAGCGGCTGACTGCTTCCTGTGTCGAAATTTGAAGCAGCCCCAATAAGGTTCTTCCAATAAATCAGTTCCAGTGATGTTTCCACAGTGAATATAAAAAGCGCTGAAAATGGCTCAATACATTTTGGTGCAAGAAGCTGAATAGCCAAAAATCGGGTCTCTGAATCCCTGTGTCCCTTGATGGCAAAAATAAATAAATACAGAACATTTGCAGTCTTCGATGCTGTTACCTGAATGGGCTGCCTCACCTTCTGAATATAACAAGCAATGAAGATGGGTGAAGACATTTTGGGGCAAGAAGCGGAACAACCAAAAATGGGCTCCCTGGATCTCAGTACCCCTTGATGGCAATAATATATACAGAACATTTGTAATATTTAAAGCTGTTACTTGAGATAGGCTGTAAACTAAAGGTCAGCCGTGATAACACAGGTTAGGTTTAACAAGTCTACAAAGAACGTTGCTATCTCCATGCTAGATCTCTCAAGTTAGTAAAATTCAATGGACAAAAACTCCTGGGTTCGTGTATTTAAATGGTGCTGGAGAGAACTTAAAAAGTGCTGACAAAGTTCTACCCACACAGCATTAGCTGCCAATTTGCTATTATTTCCCTCTTACATCAGTGTGACTGAGCTATTGCAGCAAGCCAGTTTCTTCCCTCCACTACTGAATTGTCGTCCATGTTATGACCCAGTGCCTTAAAAAAAAATCCTTGATTCACTTATTCACAACTGAAGAAGATGCAGGTCTTTGCAGGGGGAGGAGTACATACACCAAGAAAGACTTTCTCAGATTTCCTAGACATAGATGGATGTTCCTTCTTCCGAGACTGGTGTTTCTAGAGTTCCTGATGTCACAACCTTCTGGAAGAGGGGAGAGGAGACAGCTTGCCTTTCTTCTTGAGAGGTGAGCAGGAAACCCTGCCACATTCCCATCAACTTTCTTTTCTCAATCTATTTCCTTAATAAACACCAGCTTTCTCATTTTCCTAGAACCACATATGTGATTACTTTCTGAAGGGGAAGTTCTACTCTGCTAAACATTATGATTTTGAGAGCCTAAATCCACAAGTTAGCTTAGCTGCTGCCTGCCTTGCCAACAGAAGACACATTTAGCATTCATATGCTGCAGATTTAAATCCCCCCCACCCCATCCACTGTGAAGAATTCTAATATTCTCGAGGTGGGAAAAAGCAGCCAGCATGCTGGAAAACTTTTCAGATTTTATTATTGACCATCTTTACATTAATTAATACTGTTGTGAAAACCATCTGCTGCACAGAATGTAATCATAATATACAACATACAAATGCTGTCTAGGTAAATTACAACAAGGAATTACAAAAAAATGGAAAAAAAATCTCATTAGAAAGAAAGCCACCAAACATGGCAACCGCTCCTTCTCTCACTGTTGAGTCAACATGGTAACACTGCAAGGCATGGTTATTTACACATCCCTTGGAACTGTTAATCACAGAGGAGTTTGAAAGCTGTTCTAAAAAGAACATCACTATATACTGTACAGTCCTCAAAAATAATATATTACACAGTTTCTAGAAAAAAAATGCTAGTCCTTTTAAAATGTTCTTTTTCCCCAATGCACAAGAAATGTGCTATACCTCCTAACAGTCTAAGAATGCAAGAACCAACTGAATAATCACAGAGAGGAGGTGGTGGAATCCACAACTTCTCTTCCATTGCAGACGGTTGGAACATACACGTTAGCTGAAGCTGAAAAAGGAAAATGCACATTAGCAATAAGAATTTCTTCATTACAGAGGTGTATGACTTTTCTTGGCCATGAAATGAGGGGGAATGTAAAGGAACATCCTAAAGCCAAAGAGATGATAACATAAAAACAACACAAGCTTAAATCTTCAAAACTACGTGTTGGATTCTGGACTGAGTAGCAGGTTGAGTTGACTGAAAATTTCTATAGCTCCAAAGGGATGAATACTTGGAATTGTGTTTTTATAAAGTGAGTAAAAGATTTCTCAACAAAAATCCTTAGCACTTTCATCCAGGCTTCTTTGGCAGAAGCCAAGACTGATGAATTAGTTTGCTGTAGCTGAAAACCATAGATATATGACTTAATGCTGACTAATGGTGTAAGAGAACAAGAATTTGTACAACTGAAGCCCCAGAATGTTCTGCATGAATTATGATGTCAACTGCCACCCTGGTACATTGCTTTGTTGGCTCAGAGCTAGGCTACAGTCCTCCTAGTAGCTGGGAGAGAAATGGATTTTTTCCCCAGGAACAGTGGACTGCCACACACTATTGTAATGCAAAGTAATTGAAGGTAGATTGCTCTTCAATGAGCCAGGAATGGCCATTAACATTTCAAAAGACCTATTCTTCAAATGTGTGGATACAGACCAATACATAATTTTGGTTTTAGGGGAACTATGGGGATTGCCAGTCTTACTACTACATCACTTGAGTCAACCATTTCTTTACACAAATGGTAGAGCCAATTTGTGGTGTATATAAATGTTTCATTTATCTTGGGTGCCGCTCCCCATATATTCCTCTGTATATTTATATATTTCGATGTTTTATTTGTGGCTGGTCTTGGACTGTAATAAAGGTTTATCTATCTATCTATCTATCTATCTATCTATCTATCTATCTATCTATCTATCTATCTATCACTTCTGGCAACAGTGATTTACTTATGAGCATAATGGGAGTGATGGTGCTAACAAGGGGAATTAGGAGACCTGATGTCTGATTATTAGGGCAGCATTGTTTAATTACTACGGAGAAAATTGAAATGCTGGAAATCAGCATGAGAGGCAGAAGTGAGAGTATACCATGTCAAGATCAAGTTAGGCTGTCATTCCTAGGTCAAAATTAGAGGTGAGCACAAAATGAACCATGAAGCAACAACCCCCCCCCCAACCCAGAAAACCAGGCCATGCTGTGGTTTATTTTGGGGCACTTTGGGAAAATGTGCCTGACCAGAATGGAACAAAATGGCAAACTGTTATCGGCCCCGGTGAGTTGCACGCTTCATTTTTGGGCAGGTCGTCCCTGGGTAGACAGCCTGGCACCACTCAGTCAACTTCCTAGGCAATGCTGGGGAAACTTTGTGTAGGACTGGTGGTCTGGTCAGCCAGCCAACTGCCTGCAGAGCTCCAGGTCTGCTCTCTGGGAGTAGCTGGTTATAGGAGCCACATCCTGAGCAGCTCAGCTGGTGGTTTCACTTTTGCAGCAGCTGGCATGAGAAGAAGACACTTCGCTAGCTAGTCTATTCATGATTGCATGATCTGAAGAACCAAGAAGAAATTGCCTGTAGCAGATTTTATTTTTAATTTATGATACACCTCTCCCAGCTGGGAAGGTGTGCTTGTCCTCAGGGAGGTTTTTTTTAAACCTCCTTCATGGAGGAAGGAGGCAGAGGGAAACAATATTTTCCTTCCTTGGGACTTCAGTCACCCTGGTGAATTGTTACTTCCATTCTCTTCTCACATCTGCCCCCTTTCTGTTCTCACCTCAGTCCACCTCTTGATGAGCAATACCCTGTTGCACGTTCCCTGACATGGACCACTTAATTTTCCCCAAGCCAGATGCTAAAGAGGATTTTCTGGCGGGGGGGAGGGAGAGGACCTGCTTTGAGGGGGTAGAAATCCAGTCTTCACCTCTTCACCAGATTTGTAGTTGCTGGGGAGGAGATTCAGCTGAAAATACACTGTGCGTTTGGCACCTCTAGCTCATGCAGGGGCTGTTTTGCCACTCCCAGAACTCCCAAACCACATGAATTACAAAATGTTTCATTTAGTTGAAAAGTTTGTGAAAGTTCATGGTTTGTTGTTTGTGAATAGCAACAAGCCATGAACCATTGTGAACAGCCCTATTCCCAGTTCATGCCCATTTCTGTCCAAAATATACATTACAAATAGTCCACCATAAGAAACTAGCATCGCATTAGTGTCCCAGATGTGATTCTAGCAGACATTGAAGTCTAAGCAATCATGCTTGCAAAAGGTGTGTGTTTACCTCAAGTTAACCAACAAGAAAACAAAGCCAATTAGAGAAGATATGAAACGCCCCTCTCATAGACCTGAAGGACATTTTGTTTTCTATTGAAGTGCTGTCTGTATATTTCATCTATTTGATGCTAGGGATTCCTCAAAAAATGGAAGGCAACAAAGAATGTCTCTTAGCTGGCATAGGTCTGTGCAATAGATCAGATCAACTGGCACAACTATGGCATGCTTTGCAGCCAGCTAACCCAACTGGTCAGAATAAACACCTCCCCGTCATCAGTTGCTTGTGGATGCTGGAATTCTGCAGGAACATGGGAAGTGCTGGGTTACGGGTGTCCAGGGGAGTAGTAGGCAAAATGTGTTACTCATGGGATGCCTGGGGGTCACATCTCTATGTTTGCACCAAAAGATGTGTCAATCTGAATTCGAGCCCCAAACTCAGTCGAGTACAGCACCCACACTAAGACACAAATGGATCCAATAATTTTGACAGGCAACTGGCTTTTAGATGTTATACTGGTATGATCTGTTGTGGATGCTTTATGTAAATGGATGTTTATATTTTGATGGTATTGTTTATTTCCATTTTATTATTTCTGTTTCTTCTTTTGTTAAATTGGATTTTCAGTGTGTTGGTTATACATGTTGTAAACCACCCAAAATGATGGCCTTTGGTCAGATG